TTCCCATGGCTGATTTTTCAGTCTGAGGACATGCCTGTCAATGGTGAGAGGTTCGTGGGTTGTTCACTAGCAATTTAATGGGCTGTTGTCTGTTAAGAAGACTAATCAATGCAATTTATTCTGCAGCATAAAAATCGTAGGCCCATTTTCATGAACAGCAATGCTGAAGTTAAATGCCTTTTCCTGTTCCAAGTATCTAGTGATCTAAGAAGAAACCAAAGAGTGATAGAATTACAATTACAAATGATGAAATGCACACTTGTGCATATTGCTCAGTAATATAGTAGGCATTCATTTAAGGGGAGTTTTTGCAGCATACAGCATTGAAAACACATGTCTAATAGGTGCATTCATTTTAATACGCTCATTCATTGAGCAGGCCTGATTAATTAGTGCGTGTCACCATCTGGTACTTACTGAGACTATTCATTTTTAAAATGTTGAAATTGTAGGGAATGTTGCACACCAATTAAGTTCCTTTTAATTGGATTATGTTAGTATAAAGTATTACTGGCAAAGGCCTTCATTGTGATTCAGCCAGCATGCATCTAAGGGAGACCCGCCAGCCTGAAATTACTTAGAACAAAGGGAAAATGCCTGAAATGCATGTTTATTCCCATCTTGGTGCACTCAACAGAGATGATGTCAACAAATAATACTGCTGCATTTCTGTGCAGTTTCCTGACATGAGGATGCCTCTGCTGATAACTGCTTCAGCTCTGCACTGCAACTCTGAACCCGTCATCCCCTGACTCTGACCTGGAAAGTGAAATATCATCTTAACGGGGCCTGACTGAGCCCTTCTGTGTGCAGTTGTGTATCTGCTGAAACAAGAGCACTGTTTCTCATTTATACAAAGAGTGATTTAGCCTTTAAAGCTGATAAACTAACTGTGCTGACTCAACCACCTAGTGAATGAAGTATCACAAGCTGCTGGCTGCAGCACCACGTTAGGAGCAGAACTTGTCTGTCTGTACTTGTTCCTGTCACTGACTCGCTTGGTGAATTTTAGTTGCTTAATGTCATTGCACTGCAGTGTTTCTGTGTATAAATTGTGAATAGGTATGTTTATCAACTTGCATAAAAAGCTTTGAGGTGCAGGGTGAAATGTACCATGTTATTACGTGTTTACTGTTAACACTTTAGAAGCCTAATTGAGTATCTTCAAATAAGTTCTGTTGTCCAAACTACTCATTTCAGAGGAAGGAGCAGCTCTGCAGAGTTAGCAGTTCCCTAGCAGGTAAATGGGCAGTCACTGGCTGCAGGGAGGCTACAGAGGAAGAGATACCAGGAGCACCGTTAAGCCCAAACGATCTGATGTGTGACTGCCTGGACCCTCCTTAGTTTTGAAGAGTAGGGCAAGAGTCTAGAAATGAACACTGTCTGGATATCAGAGCCAAAGATTTTTTCTTTGTAAATTTGTGTGTGTTTTCATTACCTTCAATGGACTCTGCTGCCCCCTATCCAGCTGCAGCTGTCGTTAACAGCAATGGAAGCAATATCCTGAACATGTGAAGAATGTTTGAATTTTTTTTGTATTGAAAGATTACATTCATTTCACTCATATTCACTTTTACTGCTATTATCACTCATAGGAGTGATTATGTGGTTGAAACAGTAAATGTGTTTTCTTTAAAGGCAGAGGAAAGCATCAGAAAAATCAATTTTAGTTATACAACCATTAAAAAAATGCTAGATTTTTTTGGAGAGTGCAAATACCTGTTTAGACATATAAAAGTCACTGAATTTAATCTGTTACAGTAGATTGCTTTTGATTTTGAAGGATGAAAATAGTTCACCATTGGATTTTTTTTTTTCTTAATGTACATTTCCTCTTGTGTGAAGGTGCATATTTCCTCTTCGTTACAGCTGCAGGCAGTGTAAAGCATTTTACAGGCACTGCTCATCCTGGAAGTGCCAAATCCAATTGGAAACCTGTCTGTAGTTTACAAAGGCGAGAAGTCAGTGACTCTTGCCTGTTTCACAGACTGTGTCAAAAGTCATGTTTAGAGCATGTTGAGTTTAAACCATTTCCATTTGGTGCTGAAATGCAAAAGATTTAAAATATCTGTATGCATCTTACGTATTTTCTGTCTGCGTATTGATACATGCCTGCATTTACATACGCAGGTCTGTGTGTGTAGCATTTGAAATTCAGTTACTGCATTAGTACTCCTGGGACATGAAGTATGCACAGAACTGTGACCCTGCCATACTTCGGCTGTTACTGGAGCCTTGGGTTGTAGGTCTGGCAAGCCTCCTGTAGTCTGCAGTCACACGTTTTGTGTAGCACTTACCTGGGTTAGAGGAAAACTGATCCGTAACAGTGTGTCTGTGCAAATGCAAATAAGTACAGCTGGTGGTAAAACACTAAAATATTTTCATGTGACAGTGAGCAAGAGAGTGCTTTCTCATTTTATCCCAACCTTATTAGCAGAAAATGCATAGCCTAGAAGGCCATAAAACTGTCTGTTCTGTGATAGGATTTAAGTGCACTTTGTGCCATTTCTAAGAAATAATATCACCCAGTTAAATCCTAAAAACCATACGCAGGTGCGGTAATCTCTTTGTTTAAATTGTCTGCTTGGAGATTTTATGTAATGGAGAAATATATTTTCCAAAAGAAGATTTATTTCGGCTGTGCAACTTTTAGTGCAACTTTTCTCCTTTTAGTTGTTAACATGAAAAGAAAGAGTTAACCACAGTATAAAATTCTAGTATTCTCTGTTTCCTTCTCTCTCATATTTTAGGAGAATTACTTCTTAATGTGATTTTTCTGGTTACAATGCCCAGGCTGACAAAGTGTTGAACCAACAAATCTTTGCAAAGATCAAAACAATGCAAAGGCCTTTTTACTGAGTGTATATTTAAAACAGAGGCTGAAGTTTGGGCAGAACTCTATCTGGCAGACTTTCTATCTCTTAGGTCATACAAAGAAAAAGCTTTTGGCACTGAGTTTTTGGCAAAAAGCTGTGTCTGGAAACATATTCAGTCAGTGTATGAAATATGATAGTGCTGGTACCATGACTGTGTCTGAATGTACTCTGTTATAATACAGTTAGACTTCAGCCCCATCTGGTGTTGGAACAGAATTCCTATTTCAGAGTTTTCCAGCGTAGGCTAGCCCTTTGCCAAAACACAGAGCAGTACGTGAGGAGACTGACAAAGTCAGACAAGTGTCAATTTTACTAATGATTTCTATTGTTTGCTCCACTAATGTAAACCAGTTGTGCCCGTGGTGAATTCCAGCATAAGTGTCCTGCTGTTACTAACCTCTGCCTTTAATGAAAGCTGCATCTTTAACTGAGTGGGTTTGGTACTACACTTTCAACGTACCTATGTGAACAGCAAGTATGTTTTTATCCAAAGCCTGTAAAAATATAAAATTACTTATCTATCAATGCCTGCATTAGCAGAAGCAGCAACAGAGAGCTTCTTTCACCTCGGTAAAATGTCAGATCGTTTCTGAGTTATGCAACAATGATGAAGAGACCAGAGCTGTGGTTTTGGCTTAGAAGGCTTAAAATCTTCAGGCATTAATTCATAAAACACTGATCTGGGATACTCCAATGACTGTGAAGTATAACAGATTCATGCCTGATTTTTACTCAAGGTTGATCATTTCAGGAAAAAAGACAACTCATTTTGAAATAGATTTACAATTATATTTCAATTGTTTTGGCGTGGGGCGGGGTTAGGTGGAAAAGCTACTTGTGAAACAAATCAGGAACTAAAAGTCATCCATAGCTTTGTTTTGAGGATATAAGAATGGTTTATTGCCACTATAGCAAGCTAAAGAAGAAACTGACTTTCTATAAAGGCTGCCCCAGCATTTTATCTGATTTTTCAGCATAAAGTCCAGCCTGTCTTGTCAAACAAAGTATCTGTCTAGTTATAATTTGACTCTGCTGAAAAAGTGCTTAAATGGCAGAGTTTGGAATTGGTTGAACATATTTTGCCACTTAAGCTCAGCTCATTCAACATTTGAAGCTGAAACGAGTGATCTAAATTGCATTTGATAGAGTAAAGTATATTCTTTTACTTTCTTGTCACACATTTAAATGGTTATTTTGAAGACAATATGCACTAATCTTTGCTTTTATGTCCTTTTCCTGGCATGTGATTTATTGGGCAAAAATTAAGGTCAATGGTCCTGAACTAGTCAAGAGAATTATTCTATGTTCTCAGTCATTGCCATTTTTCTCTCTCTGCTCTGAGTAATATAGGGCTTCACTGACAAAGTTTTAATTCTTTATGTCCGAGAAGAATACTTGCCACATTTTTTTGCATTTCATCTAAGTAGCGCAGTGGTGTAATCTGGCAGGCAGCTAAGCACCGCACAGCCCTCACTCACTGCCCCTTCTCCTTCTGCCTCTCAGTGGGATAGGGGAAAGAATTGGTAATTGGAGGGGAAAAAAAGGTAAAAACTCATGGGTTGAGAATAAGATGGTTTAACAGGACAGACAAGGAAGGGAAAACAATGATAAAAGAATTTGCAGCTCAAGTGGTGCACAATGCAGTTGCTTACCACCTGCTGTCCAATGCCCAGCCTGTCCCTGAGCATCATCCCCCCAGGTTTTATTGCTCAGCACATGGCATGGGACATCTCTTTGGCCGGTTGGGGTCAGCTGTCCTGGTTTTGTCCCTTCCCAGCTCCTTGTGCACCCCCAGGTACCTTGCTGGCAGGGCAGTATGAGAAGCTGAACAGTCCTTGACTCAGTGTAAGCACAGCTCAGCAACATCTAGAACATCCGTGTGTTACTGGTGTTATTCTCAGCCTAAATACAAAACATGGCACCATACCAGCTACTAGGAAGAAAATTAACTCAATCCCAGCTGAAACCGGGACTGTGGTTTTGTAAATTTAAGTAAAAAGAGCTTAAGGCATCAGCAAAGGGCTACTTGTTTTTTCTGAGTTGTTGTTAGCAGTATTCAAAAAAGTATAAAGATCATCCTGTTTTTTCCCCATTCTTATCCTCCTTCTCTCTTTTGTGTTTCAGAATGATCACTGCTCAAAACAGTAGCCATACCAAGGGAACAAAGAGGAAACACATGAATGAAATTGTGACCATGCACTGAACAGCACAGCATCAAGCGCCAAGCTCTGGGAAAATGTCTGCTTGCAACACTTTCACTGAACACGTCTGGAAACCTGGTGAATGTAAGAACTGCTTCAAGCCAAAAAGCTTGCATCAGTTACCCCCAGTATCTGAGAAAAAAACCCTCTCGCATGGCAATCTGAAAACCAACGCAAACCAAAGTAACAGCCATCGTGGTGGAAACAAAGGAAACTTCCGACCGCCTGTGGCAAAGAAACCCACGATAGCTGTGAAGCCCACCATGATGGTGGTAGATGGGCAGGGTGTATGTGGCGAAATCAGCGCGACGGATCATTGTGAGAACAAATCGGTGCCCCCAGGCTGGAACCGAAACAAAGCTGTCTTGAACAAAAAACCACTGAACAATAATAATGAAGATGAAATCGAAGGTTATAGCCATGTTCACAGGCCTTATGGCAACAACGATGGTGTAGGTAAGATACCAAATAATAATAATAATGGACTGACAGAAGTTTTGAAGGAGATTGCAGGTTTGGATACCACACCTCAGCTAACTGGAAACAAAATGAACTCGAGAGAAACCTTCTTGGGAAGAATAAATAATTGTTATAAAAGATCATTAGAAAGAAAGATCCCTCCAAGCTGCATGATGGGTGGAATGAAGGATTCGCACAGTAAGCATGTTATTCTGAGTGGAAGCACTGAAGTAATAAGTAATGAAGGTGGACGTTTCTGTTACCCTGAATTCTCCAGTGGAGATGAGAGTGAGGATGACACGTTTTTTGGCAGCATGCAGGAAGAGCATGAGAGCTGGGATGAAAGTGATGAAGAGTTGCTAGCAATGGAAATTCGTATGAGGGGCCAACCTCGCTTTGCTAATTTTCGTGCTAACACCCTGTCTCCTGTTCAGTTCTGTGTTGACAAAAAATGGAACACTGTGCCCCTTAGGAACAAGTCTCTTCAGCGGATCTGTGCGGTCGATTACGATGATAGTTATGATGAAATTTTAAATGGTTATGGGGAAGAGACTGTGATTCTTTATGGGCAAGAGAGCATGCAGAGCATGGTATCTTCTGATTCTACATCTCCTGATTCTTCGCTGACAGAAGAGTCTCGTTCTGGAACAACCAGCAGTTCTTCACAGAAACTCTGTAATGGAGGATTATCTCCTAGCACTCCTCAGGACCTCAAATTGATCGAACCAGAATATGAAAGTCTCTGTGTTAGTCAGCAAGTGAAGGATGCGTCAAAACCTTCCAGAAATATTCCAAAGAGCCTAGAAACCCACAAGGCAGTCCTTGCTCTTCGACTGGAAGAGAAAGATGGCAAAATTGCTGTACAGACAGATAAGCAAGAGAATAAAAGTTCTTCAGATGTTACTGGTCAAGCTGTAACTATCAACTTGGTGCCTGTGGAAGAGCAAGCTAAACCTTACAGGGTGGTGAACATGGAACAACCAGTTTGCAAGCCATATACTGTAGTGGATGTATCAGCTGCCATGACCAATGAATGTAAGGAGAGTCCAACTGAAACCTCAGAAACCAAAAATGCATCATCTAACCCAAGTTCACCAGTAACTCCAGGCACGCCTGTTGCATCCTCTGCAGCATCACCTGCACGAGTCAATGCTAATCTGAAAAAATCCAGTGCAATCAGATATCAAGAAGTGTGGACTTCTAGTACTAGTCCAAGACAGAAGATACCTAAGGTAGAGTTAATTGCTAACAGCTCAGGACCTTCTGTTCCTCCCAGGAAGACAAGCTACAAGTCAGCTCCTACTTCGCCTACAGCTACAAACCTTTCCTCAAAAACTATCCCAGTTAAGTCTCCAAATTTATCTGAGATAAAATTCAACAGCTACAATAACGCTGGCATGCCGCCTTTTCCTATTATCATTCATGATGAGCCCACTTATGCTAAGAGTTCCAAAAATGCTATTAAGGTTCCTATTGTAATCAATCCAAATGCATACGATAACCTGGCTATCTATAAAAGTTTTCTAGGGACCAGCGGAGAGCTATCCATCAAAGATAAAACTACCAGTGTAATAAGCCACACATATGAAGAAATAGAAACAGAAAGCAAAATGACTGAAGCTATAGGGAGCAAACCCAGTGAATTTTCCCAAGCGAAGGGGGTAACTAGTAACACCGAATGCAGGCTGGGTTCTGTGGCTCAGAAGGTCCAAGAGTTTAATAGCTGCCTCAGTAAAAGTCAGATATCACCACAGAGAAGTCATAGTTCTGACCACAGCTCCCCATCAAGAATTCAAAAGACAACCCAAGAGCCAGCAGATGTGACATCGGAGGCTTCTGTTGGCAACAGCAGTAGAGAGAATGCAAGCACGGTGCTTTCACAGATTGTGGCTTCCATCCAGCCTCCGCAGTCTCCGCCAGAAACGCCTCAGTCTGGACCCAAGTCTTGCAGTGCAGAAGAACTGTATTCCTTACCCCCTGATGCAGATGCTACTAAAAACACCCTGGTACGACCCAAATCTCTTTTTACATCACAGCCTGAAATAGAGCCATCCAAGACAACGGAAAACACAGCCGTTAAAATGCAGAAAGATACGCTATCACAGCCGGTCGCCACCCATTCTCCAAAGCCAGTGAGAGGCACCCCAAATACCACAAGTCCCAAAACAGAGCAAGCACCGCCATTTCCTCCTCCACGGTCCACATCTTCACCCTATCACGCAAGTAACTTGTTGCAAAGACATTTCAGCAACTGGACCAAACCAAATAGTCCCACCAGGTCAACGGAGGCTGAGTCAATCCTTCATTCGGAAGGTCGACGAGCTGCTGACGCAAAACCCAAGCGCTGGATATCGTTTAAGAGCTTCTTCCGCCGCAGAAAAACTGATGAGGAGGAAGACAAAGAGAAAGAAAGAGAAAAAGGAAAATTGGTGGGTCTTGATGGAACTGTAATACATATGCTCCCTCCTCCTCCAGTTCAGCGTCATCAGTGGTTCAGCGAGGCAAAATCAGAGACCAGTGAGAAGCCATCAATTGTTTTCATGTATAGGTGTGATCCAGCACAGACTGAACCAAAGGTTGACCAGCAATACAAGAGCGGAGTGGAGTCTGCTATTGCTGATGCACTAGCAAAAGACAAAGGAGAAATACAGGAAAAGTCTCCGGAGAGCTTGGAACAGAAAATAATGAGCCATTCATCACCACCTCTGATTCCGAAGAAAATCCCCAGGTAATCCGCTTGTCTTTTTATTCATTCTGCTGTGAACTGTATTGTATGTACTACCAAAAAGGGAAGAAATCAAGGGGTTTTATTAAGTGTAATTTTTTTCCAAATATATTTATTTTAGGTATCTTAAAATATATTCTAAAAATCTTTGCTTTATATTGGATATCAGAAAGAATAAAAAAAAAAATTACTGGGAACAGTAACTGCTATTTGGAGTTGGTATTTGCAGGTTCATTAATACATTGTGATAGTCATGTTCCATTGAATCAGATTTTCCTGAATTCCTAGTTAAAGAAATACTTCTTATGTTATACGAGAGCTAAATAATTCCTCTGTGGAAATAGAAGGCTACTATTTAAAAGAAGAATAGAAGTTAAAAGATCTGTGACGCATAAAAGGTGGTGTGCTAACTTTATCTCACATACCCATGAAAACAAGATAGGCTAATTAACTTGATGCTACACTGCAACATCACTGCTGCACTCCTAAAATAAGCCATGTGAAAAGTAATAGTAGAATTAAATTATCTATAAAATAATAAATCTACATTTTGCAAGGCCTTTAGCAATGAATACACTCTGCCCCCTAACAGTGCTGGATTCAGCAGAGCCCATTGCTCCATTTCTGCCTGACAATTTTGTTCAGTGATTTCATTTTTAATATTTTTTAAATCATAATTTGCTAAAATCATGTGTTGTTTTCTCTAGGAATATTTGGTCAGATTATTTATCTTACTCTATAAATTCCAGGTAGTTGAATGTTTTAGGTCTTGGTTTAAAGGCCTGTTTATTTCATTCTCAAGGATACACATGCTTTTTTGGATGTCTCCAAACACAAAGAAATACACTTGTTCCAGATACACGTTGTTTTCAATGCACCACAGAGTTCCTACAGTGCATGACAGTGCATAACCTGGGGTGCTGGAGATATTCATTGCAGGCTACGGCGTGGGCATAGTATGCATTTCACTGAGTATAGACCACAGCTGTAGATGTATGAGACTAGGTCTTCTAGGGTTATTATACAAACTGATTCCAAAATAACTTCAAATTTGCATTATTTGATTCATTGCAACAATAACCTACTGGTAGGAAATTCAATTTTTTTCAACTTTATCACCTATGTGGGAATTTCACAAATGTATCGTGGAAAAAAATATATTTTTTTTCTCTATTGTCTTGTCTGTTAAAGAAAATCACAGTGACTTTTAGTTAAATGTTTTAAACTGATGAAAAATGACCATTGCATGGAGTGGAATTAAATCCCTTAATATCACATCTTGGGAAGAGTGGTATAGCGTTCTCATGGAGGTCAGGACTACGTTCAGATTGTTTGCCCTTTGTCAGACCTGGAACCCCTTGGGGTGTTACGCTGGTGATAGGGTTTATCATAGTATGATGTAAAGCTGGTTTCTGTAGGTTTCAATTTGAATTAATTGCCCCCAAATACAGTGCATATTACAGTTTAAGGCTGAAGACTGTGGAGAATGTACCTAGGGGTGGAATAACTCTTTACAAGAGACTAGTCTCTTTAGACTTACTCTAAATTAAATGGGGAGAAGTAGGCAGCTTTAGAGAACAAGTTAAAGAATCTGGAAAATTTGTGCTCTCAGTTGTCCCTACAGAGGAACACGTTCTTTGCATTATCTCCAGGGAAACCTGAAGAAAGTGACTTTGTGTCAACATCTTTCCAGCAGCCTTACTGAATATATTGCCATCAGCAGGTTCGCTCACACTCTTGTGCAGTTTGTGTGGTCACCTCTGGTGAACAGACTGGGGAAGTGATCCAAGGAAAAGTAACTGCAGAGGTATTTTTCAGCCAGATTAATTCTCTGATCTCACAAGGGAAGACAGAAAGGAGAAGCAGCTTATCTCAGTGGTAAACAGCTGTAACAAACTGATCGTTGGCACTTGTTCTTAGACTACCCTAGAGATGGTGCTGTTATCCTGTTTTGTATTTTCCACTGTTACTGGACTCCCTTTGGCCCTTACTATTGAAGGCAGTTGGTCATGTCCCATCTGACTCATTTATTCCAAAAAGTATTTTTACTTTTAATTTTTCTGCAAGTCATGGTGATATTGGCTAAAATCATATCTCACCATTTTTCCTGGTGCAAATCAGAATTCTCTGAATGCTAGAACTGGAATTTCTTCTTCCTAACAATATTGTTCCATGGCAAATTTCTACAAATTAAAAAATAAAAGTAAAAAATGAAATACTGAGAAATACATTGTTAGAACACTAGGCAGTGGATTATATTTTTTATTACCTTGGTGCAATTTAAAGCCTTAAAGTAGTTTTGTTTTTTTCCTTAATTTTAAATACTGTTGAAGAGACAGAAAGAAACCTTAGACTGCCAGAAAATGAAGGAATTTAGTTAAAGGGTTTTGACTTCTCTTTTTAATATTCCAGTAGGTGAGAATCAGGGTTGTCAACTGACATTTTTGCACATGCAGGAGACATAACAGGTGATGCTATACTTGTTTTGTGTTAACTCATCAGATGTTATTAAGAGGTTAGTTTAGTGTTAATTCAGGCTAAGATACATGTATGTGCCTGGAAAATACTTTTTAAATCTTCAGTTAAGCTTGCAGAGGCATAGAGGAAAACTGGAGAGATGAAGATAGCAATCAATGAACGTGACACTTGCCTGAGAATGCCAACACAAGTAAGCTCACTGAAAAAAACAAACTGATGACCTGGAAAATAAGATAAGCTTTAAAAATGTCAGATTACTAGGGGATCTTGAAAGTAATTTAAATTAATATACAATATTTCTTTACTTTGCAATGGATTACAAAGCTGCTAGAGATTGATAACATAACCACAAAACAGGTCTGAAGGTATTTAAAGTTATCACCAAGAAAGGTCAGTTCATCCCTTTGAACAGCACCAGCAAAAGGCACAGTTGTTTGGAAAGCTGAAAACTGTATCAAAGAACTTGGTGTGGTTTTATCCATGCAGTAGTTTCTTTCTGTTTGGAGCCAGGTTGCATATAAGGTGGTTCCAAAGGAGATAGCAAATACTAATGTATTAACTGTACCAAAAATTTGTAGATGGATTAGTTTTTGCTAAAAATGAGCAATAATGTCAGCCGTATTGTAATTGGAATGGAAATGAGGCGTTCTCAGAACTCTTAAGGTTCATTTTTTATGATGCAGAAGGTCTTGCCAGGCAAATGCTAAAACTGACCTCATGGGATCATGAATCTAATTCCTAAACTGATGTTAACTTTGTCAGTAGGACTTGAAACTAAGCTGGCAGCCAACAGGCATGAGTTCTGTTGACCCATAGATAGAAAAGATCACTATCCTGATTTATCTTCCAAAATGAGTGAAACATCTATTATGTCTACAGATGTATATGTTTTGAAGATTTGTTTTTAAACATTTTCCTTAAAAAGTATATTTGTACATCAGCAATTTGGGTTCTTTTAAGGCTATTATTTGTGAAAATAGCCAATGGGTGTTTTACTGGGCACGTTAATGGGTTCTATACATATCAGAGGGCAGCAATATCAAAGCTTTTGATAATGTCTTATTATCCTTCAAATCTTACCCTAGTGCCACTCTTGTTATACAAATAATTTTAAGATTTAATATCACTGTAAGGATATGTTTTAAAAAAGAGTCCTCCTTCCCAGTTTGCAGGACCCCTTGTACTGGTTTTAAACTAAGGTTCTCACCTGAATCCAAAACCTTTTAAATGTAGCTTGCATAAATTGGTGGGGAGAATTCAAGGATGTTTTTGCTGAAAATAAAGCTTTTTCACAAGCAAGCATGCTGAAGTGGAAGGAATTTCTACCCAGAAAGCTCAGGTAGAACTATCAACTCCCCCTTCCCTCTGAATCTACCTTTATTTGCTTTTTCTAGGTATCAGAAAGGTTTATTTACTTTAATCAAGTGCCCAACAATGTTTTATAAGTGTTAGCCACCTACCTCACCTTGTTTCATCAGGGAAAAATTGCCACAAGACTCTTTCCCCAGAACGACTATAAGCTAAGAGATTCAGAATTTATGTACGTTCAGTAAGTGAAAAGTTAGATGAAGTTTTATGTGAAGAAGATTTTTGTAAGTCTTGAGAACAGTTAAAGAACCAAGTGGAAGCGATTTTATTGTTCATTATTTCATAAATTTAGATGGAGATGGTAAATCGTGCATTATTGTTCTTAACTTCTCCAATACAGTCTGTAAAATGGAAAGACTGAAAACATAAAATCGATAAACAATTTTTATAATTTGCAGTTAATCTGCAGAACTTGTTGCCGTTTTTTTTCACTGACACTAAAGAGCTTAGCAGGATGTCTTTCCTGGATTATGAAATGTATTCCCATTATCCATGCCAACATTGCATGATAAAAGATTTTAAAAATAATAATAATGGAATATCAATTCTCATGCTTCAGGAATAAGCCAACTTCTATATAATAGGAATTAGGAATAAACTTTATGGCTTAGTTATTGCGAACTGCCAGTTGGTGAAGTTTCTTTCACTTTCCTCTTGACTGTGTGTGGCTAATAAGGGTGGAGAAACTGAACTGTGTGAGCCACTGGAAAGGGTTTTCCGTGCCCGTAGTGTGTTATGATTTAACCCTGAGCACTGATCATCCCTGCTCAGTGTTTTGCAAAAACGCAGGGGTCTGGGTTCTGAATGAAAGTTCCTCTGTAAGGTGGCCTTTTACCACCTCCCAAGCCATTAACCTCTCTGCATTTTTCCTCAAGCATTATTCAATAAATTTATGCTTTATTTTTAGCTTTATTAGCTTAAAACAGGTAGGGCCTGAGGGAGTCTCAAAGGGATCTCTTTGAAACTAAATATGTCTACAGGTTCCACAGATGTCTTGTATAAAAGAAAAATATTTTTCCTTATCAGGCTCTCTCATCTCAAGCTGTATGACTACCATTGGTTATTGCTTTGTTGATGTCCACTTGGTGGAGTAGACATCAGAGCAGATCAGAGTCTGAGCAGGCTCTGAGGCCATGTCAGCTCTTTTCTAAGTTTCCGTCACAAATTTCTGCCACTTGGGCTTAAGTGCTGCCTTACCAGAACTGTACTGCCTCAGCTTGGCCTTGAGATCTGACCCTACTGCAGGAACACCGTTTCAGAATCACTCTTTTCAAGTATTTCACCTCTTTATCGCCCTAATATTCATTGCTGTTTAGTAATCACTCTGATTGAGAAGGTGTGCACTGAACAGAAGAGAATATAGGTCACACGATAGCTGTAATTCCACTGTCCTTATAAAAAATAACACACTGCACAGTCTGCTTTCCGGATTCTTACTATTCCAAAAAATTAAGTAAAGTTTTAGACCACATCATCTTCCAAAAACTGGAGGAGGATAACCTGAGGGAAGAAGTAGAGGCATTTGGCCCTGTAGAAGACTGCTTTTAAAATGATTTTGAGCTTGTACACATGTGAATCACAAGCATATGAATCCAGGGGCATGTTATCTGAAGGACAGTCCTTTTTAATGCAGGCTTTTTGCTATGCATAATTCAGCTCCTTCGGAAAGCAAATGTGCTCTCCGTGCATGGAGGGCTTCTCTGTCTGTTACCTGGACGTTGTTTAGTTTCAGCCACATGTGCTTGAGGAGCAGAGTTCTCAAAGGTAATTAATTCATTTCCTCTGAAGTTTCTTTCCGAAATAAGAAAGGGAAAAAAGAAAAGGGCTTGGACAGAGCAGACTGTGCCCACGATGACAGAAGCTAAATATGTGCTCTTACGCACGGCATCAAGGAATCCACCCTGGCAAAATAGCTATAAATATCCCAAATAAGGGGATAGCTTCAGTATCATTTGCAGTCAACAAGGAGATATACATTTATACAAAATGGGGCTTAAATGGTTCTAATCTCAAAGAAGGGCTTGTTTATCAGCTGCTCTGTCTGCTTTTCTCAGACGCTAATATATTTTTTAACTGTTTAGACTACTGCATGAACAAAAGCAGTTGTTCATTTGGTCCTTGTAGCTTAATGAGTGAGGAGGTTTTCCCCTTTTGTTCTCTCTGTGTTATGTCAGAGATGATTACAGGTTGGCTTTTTGTTGCTTGTTGAGTCAGTACACCCTGTGTGTGTGCTTGGTCTCAGGATCTCTCCCAGTTCACTGTTAAGCTACATGGAAGCATTTCCTCACCGATTTCATGGCCTGACATCTTTTCGTTGTAGCTTAATATGTATTTATTTCAGACACTAAAATGGGTTGGATCCAGGTTCAAGATGTCCCCTTACTTTTAACAGCAGGCTAGTCTAAGTGCTTCAAACCTCTCTGGAAATTTGAACCTCCTTTTCCGTAGCTAATTACCATGACTAAGACCATAGTTGTCATACCAAAACAGTGATGTAGCAGTGTGTGACCTGTTTTTCATCCACGAAGGCAGTGGAAGAGTTAAGAGGGCAGGGCTGTAACCAACTGGTGTCCCGGGGCGCTTTGGCAAGCCCCTGGACCAACCCCCTAAGGTAAACATTAAGGTGCAGTAGGTGTATCACTCTGTGCAGAGTTCAGCCTGTTGCTTACAGCTTGCACAACTTGTAGCACATCAGAACACTGTGGAATCAATGGCTCGCCAGAGTTTCAAGACATGATTAAAAGACTCAAGAAGGCCCTGAAAGAATTTCCTTTAATGGGGAATTGTGTGAGTGAGTATAGTGGGTGAGTTGTTTTTTTTTTCTTTCTTCCTTTGTAGCTGTTGGTTTACGTTGTTTGGCAAAATGCTTTTGAGCTTAGGTTTAGTGTATGTGCTTGCATGTGTCTCGTATGGAGAATGGGTCTGTTCTGTACCTCACCAATCGATACTAAAAAATTACTTTGAAATGTGATTATTCTGGTATGTGGCCATGACAGAACCATAAAGCTAATAGAAACTATTTTTTTCTGAAAGAAAATGTTCTTATTGAGGAATGCAGGTAAATGTATGATTCACAGCAACTACGGGTTTTTAGTTTAATTTCTCATCAACTTAAGAGCCTTTTCACTGCTTATATTTATGTATGCCTTACTCTGAAGTTGTCTTAGGTTAACTCTTTAATGTGGATATATTTAGGGTACTTGGAATGTTCTTCACACCATTGCTATGCATGGTACTAAAAATGAACAAGATTGTTAATGCTGATTAAAGACTACAGCTATTTGAAGTCATGCCATTTTTTCTCCTTTACTAACAAGTTCTAATGAGTTTTGTTTGTATCAGCCTGCAGTTAAAATTCATGAGTCTGAGAGTAGAAACAGCATGTGTGTGCTGCACCGTACACGGGGTCTTGTGTTATGCAAACTATTGGCATGTTGTAATCTTTGAAGTCTGTTTGGGATTGCAAGAAGACTGTGTACCAGGATTTTCAGTAGTTTGGTTTTAGATTAGAATAGAAAGACCTGTGCCTATAATGTATGTTAACTCTTTGGGGATATTATCTCTCTTCCCACCTATAAGGATTTCTATCATGGAAACTCAGCTGCTCTGCCTGTTTAAAAAAGCACAATTTTTGTTTCTGTTTATCAGAAGTTGTCTTGTTTTAAATCTGTACCATGAAAATTAAACACCTGTACAGATATCACCTGTGGCGACCATCTTTTTGGAGGAAGTGCCTCACCCCTATCCCTTCTGGAAGTCACAAATACTTAAAAATGTTGCCATTCTATTAGAGCAGACTGGAATAATGAGAACTAGTGAATAGGACATATGCTCTTGAGATTTGGCTATAATCAGTATTTGTTTCTGTCAATGAGAGAGCATAAAGGCATGGAAATATTTTTGGTCTCTCTGAATGTTTTATCTGGCAAATTATTGATAATTGCTGCTGTGTTTTCAACAGGACTTTTTAAAGCCTGAACAGAGTATTTTTTAATATATTATGCAAAATTTTTAAATCATACTGCTGTAAATATACACAGGAAGCTGATTGAATCCATGATGTTCACAGTTCTGCGCTATAAGTAATCATAGTTCGATTAAAACACCATAGCTAAGAGCAAATACAGAGGAATGTCTTCATGGCTTTCTGTGGCTGCCCTAATACATTAGCAGATGGGTTTTAATCTTGGAGAATTTTATATGGGAAACAGATTACTAGGTTAAATGGGCTGCTGATCTGTTTCCCAAAGTGTCAGTTCCCCAAATCCTACCAGTATATGAAAATGTATCATTAAAATGATACGCATTTTTTAAGATTTACAGTCCCCTGGCTATACCCTGGTACTTTTGATTAAGCTAAATTTGTTTTCATTGGTAAAAAGCACCTTAATCCCTGCTGATGTTCTATGAGTTCTACGCATGTTTTATGCAGAATCATTCCTGCGTACGTATGCTGATTGTAGCCAGACGGAAAAGATTTTATTATCCTTTTTTTAATGAAAGGTATGAACTATTGCTACTGTTTGAGTCAAAAGTTGTTTCTTCTTATTAAGAAGAATAAATATTTTAGAAAGTTATTCTTAAAAGGGGCTTTAGGGGGGCAAAAAGGTTATTTTTTTATTTCATTCCCTCTACTAAAGATACATAATGGAAAATCCAGTGTTTTGCCATTAGGATCTAGTGTACATAGCTTTGATCTCCAGGTGATTTTGTTTTGTTTGTTTCAGCCAAGTGCCCGATGACACGACACTGGAGGATTTGTCCCCTCGTGTTCCTAGAGCCGTGTTTGTGAAGCAGGACAATGGCGGCAGCGCCTCGGTCATACCTGTATCGACTGTCCGTGTCCCACTGGGGGAGGAAGACAAGGAAGAAGCTTCACAATCTCCCGACTTAAATCCTTGCAGTGCTACATACAGCAACTTAGGTAAGTGTATACTCATAGAGAAAAATGTAAGTTAGATCAAAATTTGGGTATCTTTCTAGGCTGTGAAGTACCTTGTCTTTGTAACTTCTCAATATACTTTCACAAAGTTAGTTTTTGGACACACTTCTTTAGTATCTATAGAAAATTAAATTCTCTTGACTCATTCTGAGAGATACAACCAAGAAAGTGAAGATTCAACAAACACAAAGGTTTTCTCTTCTATGATTTTAAAACTATGTCCAGGCAGTCTTTTAATTGCCCTTAGTGATAAATATCTCAGAGATGCTTTTCAGAGACACATTGTTTCATCTATTTGGAGGATTTTTTTATCAAAAAGCAGCTTTAAAATACAGACTAAATTATCTAATGCTTTTAGAATTATAATTGGATTTCAGTAGTTTTCCAAGCAGCGTAAGATAGGACTTTTTATTTTATTTCATCAGTAACTGTTAAAATACTTGCAGTCCTCTTTTGTTGACTAAAATCTTTCTTGTCCTAGTTTCAGAATTTACTTTTGCTCTTTCAGGAAAGTTTAAAATAGGAATATCCCAAAGGTACTGCACAATCTATTCAACTATCACTGAATTCCAGAATCATATGAAAAAGGTGCATGTATGCAGCCCTTCTCTGGAATACAAGTGAACAAGACAAATAAGCATCTCCCAATATTGTGAGCCTCCTGTTCTGAAGCATTTTGATGTGGAGTACTGTGAATTTAGGAGTGTCTATAGCCAGGTCTTCTAGAAGGGCAAAAATCCCTCATTTATTTATTTTCAAGAATGTGTAAATACAAGTTTTTCAGTAAGGCTCCAAGCATACTGGCACATTAAGCATTTGGACGAGAACAAACTGACTGCATTGAGATGGCTCACAAGTATAAGTTTGGTATATCCACACATGTTTGAGGGATTGAGGTCCATGTTTTTAAACCCTCATGTGCATACGTTCCTTAGACATTTAGCAATATTGTTGATTTTTTTTTGTTTAAATGTGAGTTAGTGGTTGACATGTAGTGTGTTCTGCTAATAAAGCATGAATTAGGTTTAAATTTATTGTTTGGATAGAATAAAGAGGAAAATATCCTGCCCAAGAATTATAGGAACATCTACCAAGAAATTGTAACTCAAGAAGAACTAAAATTTAGACCTTTATGGTGGAATTTAGACCTAATGAATTAATGAATTTAAATCAGGTCTTTAATGAATTAAAAGACCTAATGAATTATTTTCTGTTCATTGTGATATATGTATATGTGTGTATCTATATATTTTCTGTATTTATGACATACCTACATTACAGATACAGTCCAGACAGTAGATCTAGCTACACCAAATCTATTTAAAACCTGATTAGTCCATGTTCCTAATTAGACTGATACATAAAAGGATGAAGTTTTTATGGCTTCTACTATATAATTTAATGTGTGAAATACCACTTATTTCTTGTGGTGAGATTGCTGTTTTGTAGCCGTAGTGTTCCTGTGGTGAAGGGATTACTTGCATTTCATACCCAAAGCAATGACATTGTGAATGTTTTATTTAAATCTTTACTCAGTTTAGCTCGCTTTTCTCCTGCAAGATATTACCCTGATGGCAGCTGCTTCAACACAGCTAATGCGCTTCCATTTGTAGACCTCCCACAGTATCTCAGAAAGTGGGAGTAGTAAACTCATGGGAAATGTAATAACACATCATTAAACACTGGAACAGGTTGCCCAGAGAAGTTGTGGAGTGTCTGTTAGTAGAGATGCACAAAACCCAACCGGCCACGATCATGGACAGTCTGCTCCAGCTGACCCTGCCTGCCTGAGCTGTGCGTGGGGGCACTCGAGCACCTCAAGATGTTCCTTTCAGCCTAAGAGTTTTTGTGATTCTGTGATCACTTCTGTCAGCATTATTCCTCTGTGTGAATGTTCCTTTGTAAAACCATACAAAACTCTGAACCCTTTGCGTTTTATTCAAAATCTTACCCTCGTCTTTGGGTCTTTTTCAGACTCACTGTCACCAGAGTAAGTTTTAGATATGAAAGAGTTAAATGAACTTTTAGTCTCTTTTTGGTCTGGCTTGGCAAGCTTGCTGCTAGTTGTTAAAAGCAATGCTACCCTAAATGGCACTGAGTTCTCTGGCTGCTGTTCAAACTTTTTTCTGGTTTATTCGAGCAAGCTCACTTTCTAATTCAGATAGCTATCAAGAAACAACTAGGTAGGGACACTGAGTAACTCTTACTTGTTCTCACATCGTACATCACCCAAGCAACAAAATCATACACTTTGTACAGTTAACAAAAACCGATGTGTTTAACTGAAAGAAAGGATAGTAAGAAAAAATGTAAGATAACCAAGTTGGATTACATTTGCCTTTTGCTTCAGCTGCAGTTGTATCTACAGTTACCTTTTTATGGTTACATACTACAGTTTGTGTAGTACTTTGGAGAATATATCGTGAACATAGCAATTTGCAGCATAATGCACAAGATTGACTTTTTAAATACTACTTTAATACATACCCATATCTTATTTTATGAGGGATACCTTTGGTATCAACAAACAATAGACTAAATAAAATCCAGAGCAGCCAGTTGAATCTCAAAGTAGAAACACACAAATGTTCAAACCTGTAAGGTGGGACCTGGATGTTTCTGTTTTAAGGTGTGCCCATAATTGTAACAGAAGTAAATTCAGGTAAGCCCTGTGGTTTATGATAAGGGAGGCAATGAACTAGATGATTAAAATCCTTTCGTTGACAAATCTTTAAGTTTTTCTTGTTTAAAATTCATTACGGAAATTGACTTGATTGAATTTGCATCACTGTAGATAGGTTAAAATATTCTAAATAAATTCCGAGTAGCATTTCTATCCTTTAAAAAAGAATAAGTGGTCTCATTATCAACTATTTTACTCGTTGCATCTAAAGAAAAGGGGAAAAAAGAGGCTAAGTTTCTCAGTTTTATGTTTGCTGACACTGGAAAAAATAACAAATCACAGCATGTACGTGGAGTATTGCCGCAGTCAGTAAGTCCAAGCAGGGCAGTGTACTTCAGCAAGGCTATAAACAAGGTGATGAAGTCATTGTTGACTAAAACTGGATGGTTCAGTGACAAACGGTCATTACAGAATCCATGTGATGCATTTTATGTAACGTGTATTAGTACAGGTAGTACCTTTAACATGGTGTAAGGGCGGGGAGCAGCAGGAGCTGAGAAGTCACCAAGGCAGATGAGCTGGAGCTTTTATTTATTTAGTACCCACCTCCCATCTCAGGATAGAGTAGTACTGAGCAATCTCAAAGTGTTGACGAGAAACTGAAGTTACACCATGAATGTTAGTTAACAAATGTCATTTTTTCTTTCTGTTCAGTAAATTGTCATTCTAGTAAGATGTTTATCAAATTAACTGTAAACAACTGAATATCAAACTATTACTATTAACTATTACATCCATGTAAATCTGTGTATTGAATAATTTTATAGAATAGTGCACATGTACTGCACTTACCAGAATTGTTGGATGCTTTTGCAGTGGCTGGAAGATGCTTTTATGCATCTGTGTGTTTTTTTTCATGATTTGGTTATCTGTATTAGGGTGAGAGTTCATTAAGGAGTGATGTATTTTTACTAGTTTGAAAGATCAGTATAACTGATCTACTTATACAAACTTTCTACTTTTCCAATCACATCTATTCTATAATGAACATGTAGATTGTAAAGGATGATCAATATCTAAGCGCAAAGAAACAAGGCCAGAGAAGGGATAATGTGTACATTGGAGATGGCCAACCTGTAGCGCTCAAGGATTTTACTTAATGAATACTCTAATCAGCCTTTATGGCTGTGTTTTGTAATATGAAATGGGGATATACTGACATGGAAATTACTAGGACATCTGACTCCATTCCTGGCTATGGAAACAAGTAAGCTGAGGTTGCCAGAGCTAACACTGTTGGACCACTCCAAGATCCGGCCGTGTGGTTGGCCCAGCCCTGTCTTACAGGGAGTTTCCTGCAGACATGTAAGAAGCCATTCGAAAATTCCTCTTCCTCAATGGTCTGCAGTGTACAGAGTCCACAGTTTTGACTTTATTCTGTTGGGGTTTTGATAGACTTGGTCTTGGAAGGTTGGTTACCCATGTTGCATGTGGATGATTGTTCATTTTTGTTTTCCTTGGCAATGCAAAATGTGAAATCTTTGTCAAGCTGGTGTGGTAAGTTGGACAGCAGCAGAGGTGTGAGTCATTTTAGCCCTGTGGGTCCTGTTCATTCATCTAAGTCCCTCCTCTGGGGAGCTAGAGATTAAAGAGCACCAGAGTGGTCACTAAAACTGAGAACACAGTTAAAAACCATGGTGATAGTGTAGTCACTATAGTGAATACTAGAATATTGTTTTCAGGCATTTTCTAATTCATATGTTCCCACAAGGGAAGTTATCCTTGGATCAGAGATGGCAATGTCATAAAATCAGAAAAGATTGCTTTCAAGAATAAAGGAAAATGTAGGACAGGTTACAACGTCAAGAGCAAGAAGAGTTTGGAGAATGCACAGAAGCGGCCTGTTGAAGTTGTAGTACTGAACTTACATACATCATGTATTGTAGAACGATATGTGTCTCAGGAGCAGTTCTATTCAAGGAAGAATGGAAGCACGCAGCACGTCACCTACTTGGCTTGCCTGATTGACCAAGAGTTGTTTTTCCAATTAAAGAAGCATTTTCCTTCACAGTTTTGAAATTTCTCAACAATGCATGCTGCTGATCTGATCTAAGCCAAAAAATATAGATACATGGTGGTAGCAAGAAATCTGAACATTGTTACTATATGAAAAACATGCCTCTGAGATACAAAATTGAGTTAAATCTGAGCACAGTGTGTCAGATTTGATAGTTTAATGAGCTAATATAAACAGGTTGCAATGCCAAGCTCTGATGATAAGTGAGTTACCTAGAGAAATAAAGTGATTTATATTTTTTTAGGTCTGATTTAGAGTTTCATACCTCTGTGTGGTGTCTGGAGTATTAATATAAAAATAGTGCAGCAGTATTCTACCGTGCAAGATGATATACTGTAGAATTGCTTAAGGTTCTCTATAAGGAGTTAATTTTTTTCTTTCTTGAACAGCCTAGAAGCTGCCTCAAAGATCTTTGTAAGCAGTTGCTTAATATTGTGCCCATTTCTCCTTTTCACCTTGTAATGTTGTAATATCAGAAAGTCTGTACAGTAGGTAAGGAAATGGAGTTTTTCAAGTGTGCAAGGAGAGAAGGAAGTGTCAGGCAAGAAAAATAAAATGCTTTGGTACTGCTTGGGTGCAAAAGAATGTTCTCGTGTCTTCAAAATTTAAGACAAACTTTTTATCCTAGGCATTGATTAAAAAAAAAAAAGGCATGCAGTAGCCATACCATGCTTGGGAAAGGCTGAGTTGGAAGGCCTGGTCGTATGGGCATGAAAGAAGTGTACAAGGTTAAGAAGTCAGCATAAAAACAGTTCAGATATGAAGTTTTTCAAACACGTAATCCAGGTGGATAGATTTCAGTATGGAAAACCTAGTTCTTGTGGGGATAAACTACACTGTAACATGACACATTTTATAAACTCACTTTCCTCAGTTGAGAATACTTGAAAAAGAAACTACATAAACACTGCCAATGAATGCAGTTCTCTGGATCTTGCCACCTCCACCAGACATCTGCAAAGACAATTTCTGGTTATGAAGAGCTTCTCCAATTATGTCTTGATGTCAGTTCCAAAAGTTATGCAAAAGCCACAACTAGTGAAAGTCACTGGTTGCAGTCGCAACAATCCCCCGGTATGAATGGCTTTTGGAACAGGGCCATTAAAGCAGACAGAAAAGAGAATCAACAAGAAACATACAAATCTTACCTTTCTTGGAGAGGGTTTTGCCTGCTACTGCTTGAAATGTGCATCTTGCTCTAACGCGTTTTCTTGCTGTTACAAGATTAGAAAATCACACAGACAAGGCGTATTAGGAAACTGCCTACTGAAATCGGAGCCTTTCTCCAAGCCCCAACACTTAGTCTATTTTAGCATAGTGGGGAAGAGGGGAAGAATTATAGAACAGACGAGTGATCTGTAACACAGAATGTTGCCAGGAGGAGAAGTACATAGGTCACGGATTTTGTAAGAGTAAGGAATTAGTATGGAAGATGACATGTGTTTGGATGAGTCAGAAAAACGGGCAAGCAGAAATGAACTGGTCTCGAGGTTGTGCAAAAGACTGTGGCATTTGGGTGTGTGATTCTGGCATGCAGATATCAATTCTGCTTTTGACTATGAATCATGCCACTCTTCGTGTCTGCAAAAAGTACATTTCTAATACAGTTTCTGTAATGCTCAACTGGCACCAACACCACATAAGTGTTGCAGCACATCAAAAGCTGACAGGAAGAGCAGCCTCTGTAGAGCACGTTCGCTGCAGAACTGGTATCAGAAAGGAGCAGTAGAGGGTACAGAGTGCTGTATTTTTTTAAGCGACCTTTACAATGGTTTGAAAGAGACACACAGGAATTCTGCAGTATTTCTAGCCTTCGAGCATTTTTGTGCGAGCTAAGAAGTGATGACACAGGGGAGTAGCCCTCTGCAGTTTTCCCCAATGATCAGGTTCTAAAGATCCACTGTCAGTGCACAGACAAAGGTAATAGAATTTCCTGCTCAAAATTCAGTTTTTAAACATCGGAATATCCAGGCTTACCACAAAATCCATAAGGCTTTTCTGAGTGTTTCTTGAGCTTAAACAAAAGATAGAGATACAACTTTCACTTGTGATGTTTTCTCCTTGGAATGGTTGAGAAGAGAACAATCGTTAGGAATTCAAGGCTCGAGGTTATTCTGTGTGTGGATGTAGTCCTCTCTTTACAGGGATTCAAAATGTATCTTACTAGAATAGTCAAACATTTGTGGCATCTTTCTGCTGGCTTATCCTTTTTGGTAAAGATGCTCAACTGCAATTATGCAGAGCATCCATTTCATGTCTGCTGTGTTATAGCTGCAAAAACAGGAATAGTAGAAAATACATAAAATAACTTCTCTGAAAATGACGGTTGATTATTAAGAGTGGAAAAGTCTCATATTGTTATGAGTAATAACTGCTTAATTGTCCCAAACAGCAGCCAGTTGATCACTTGTATTGTCTGTTTATTGTTTGTTTGTTTTCAATTCTCTCTTATATTGCTGTCATTTATTTATTCTTTATTTCTGAGAACTCTGGCAGTTACAAAACATAATAGCCCTCTCTAAAATTCATCCAAAACACAGGATGGGATGTTTATCTTGCCTAGAAGCACACACACTCAAATGTAACCACCCTCTCAGAGGAAATCCCATGTTTTTGTACACATGACCCACTGTTTGGAATCTTGACTTAATCTCCATCACGTTATCTATGAACTCAGCACTGTCAGCAAAGGTGCCTGTGGCAAATGAGTAAGGGAAATTTATTAGATAGTTGTGGTTGGGTGACTCTTTTAAATTATTGGGTAATCTCAAAATATAATCCTACTCTCACTGAAGCCAGTGGCAATGCACTTGTCAGCTTCAGTGAAGTAGGTGTAACTTCCTTGTTTTCAGCTAAGGAATCTGCAAGGGCAATCTTGCCTTTCTGATGTGACTGCTGAAGTATCTGAATTATGTTATTTGTATCAGAATTTAAACCAGAAAACTTCAGGAACAATGCTTTCAGCCTCTTTAGCACATTTCAAATCAAAGTGATCAAGAGCTTTACAGACGATTATGAGGATATATAAAAAAGATCATCTCACCTGCCAGAGAAGTGCATCTCTCAGAGAAATAGCTCACAAAGCCACTTAACAGTATCCACCCATAGTTCAGCGCATTTAAATAGAAAGTAAAGAACACCACTATACTTGATTGACTGCAGGCAGAATTAAGGGAAGCTGAGCATCGTTACTGAAACAGAAATTTGGACCGAGTGCCAAAACTGACTTTTCGTTTTTGCTTGCACTTTTTTGTCATTAATGCCATGTGATATAAAATGCCAGCATTGTCAGCACTGAAACTGATTTTAATCTATAGGCCAAGGTCAAATAAAGGCAGGCTGTATGTAGTAATCCCTGCATGATGCTGATTAGTCATTTTGCTTTCTGATTAGTTCACCATTTCAGGTATGTATTTAGGTTTTTGCAATATTGGGGTGTGGGGGTGTCCTACTCAGTTTTTTTCTTTTGCCTTCATAAATTTTGTTGAAAAGTGCAGATATGAGCAGCAAAGTACTTAAATCTTCTGATCCAATTGCTTTCTCATTACACAGGACAATCCAGAGCAGCCATGATACCTCCAAAACAGCCAAGGCAACCGAAGGGAGCATTGGATGATGCCATTGCCTTTGGAGGACTAGTAGATCAGGAGACAACAAACAGCTTACAGCCAACACCACCTCCACTGCCGAAAAAAACAATTTTGAGAGCTAACACAGAGCCAAGTCCCAGAGATCTCCAGAAGCAGGCTCTTGAGAACAATCTGTGCATTGTGGCCAACCCCACCTACGACATCGACACCCACTGGGAAGCAAGCAGTGCCTGCTCTTCAGTCAGCTTGGAGCTCAAGGTGCTGGACAACGAGTCGGGAGATTCCTTGGACAGGCCTACAGAAAAGTTAAGGACGACCACCTCAGCAACTAACAGTGTTTCCAGCCTAACCACTATCAGTATTAGGGACCGGTGTTCCAATAGCATGGAGTCTCTGACGGGGAGACGCATCTCGCAGACTAAGCAGGGCAAGGGTGTCCAGAAGCCGCAAAGGCAAGCACTTTATCGAGGAATTGAAAACCGAGAAGAAGTGGTAGGTAAAATCCGAAGCCTTCACACCGATTCACTGAAGAAGCTGGCACTTAAATGTGAAGACTTGTTCATGGCCGGACAAAAAGACCAGCTGCGGTTTGGAGTTGACAGCTGGTCAGATTTCAGGCTAACCAGTGACAAGCCGTGTTGTGAGGCAGGCGATGCAGTTTACTACCCAGCTTCTTACGCAAAAGATCCTCTCAACAATTATGCAGTCAAGGTAAGAGGGGTTGAATAATGGGAACCCTAGATATCAGGGACAGAATGTAATGACAATAACCGTAATCAGCAACACTCCCACTTGTGGTTGGTCCTACAAATAAAAGTCAGTGCTGCTTGTAGCGCTGTGTGAAATGTAAGAATCCCCAACATACAGGCATTTCCTTCTATAAAGAACCACGTTTGCAATACTAAAAGTTCATCTGCATGCAGAAGAACCTATGTTCAAATACTTAATCAGATGATACTAAATCATCGCTCTTAATGACATAATATTTTTCAAGTTTTACATTTTCAGAGCTTTGTAATTTTAAACGTAACCTCTAGAGTAGTGTGTCTTTATGTTCCCATACAAAGCCTTACATTGTCACCAGCATTCATTACCAGCCTTTCAAAATCTCCCTTCTAGCCATCGGCGCTGCTTTATAAGCTATACTAAAAAAGTGGAATTTATCAGTGTTGGTTTTGTTGCCTTTTACTAAAGAAACAATTGATTTGTGTCTAGGTTATTGTTCAGCTAGAGCATAAAAGAAGTAAGATTTACTAGACTTACTGCTAATATATTAATGAATAGTTGGCAGCTATCTCGCTAGGTGTTGTAACTTGATGAGGTTTATATAGGTAATTTTTTCTGAGCGCTGCATCTCTGCAGTTCTCAAGGGTTTTCTGGTAGGATGATAGGAAGAAAGACAGCTGAGAGTCATAGCCCTGTCAGACTTCCTGTGTGACCTTGAGCAAATCACTGAACTTCTGACTCCTCCCTGTGGAAACTGAGATACAACAGCTATTACCCAGCGCAGGTGTGAGGTGTAATCCATTATTCCAAATAGAGCCTGTTGGTGTTCTCAGAAAGGTGGAGTTTTACAGGAATAAAATGTCACTATTGCTCCTGCATTATTGCTTACAAGAAAGATATAAAAATAAATAAATGAAGGGTAAGCTTGTTTCAACTGATATTTTCTCCTGAAGCGGCATCTTTTTAAGGCAGATTTGTGGGCAATAGTCACTTATATTTCTTCAGTTTACCAAGGCTCTCTTTTTGAAAAGATTTGAAATGAAATATGGATGCCATGACCAGTGGTACTAAACAGCTGAGAAACAGATCACGAATCTATCTGCTAATCTAGTCTAGTTGCAGAATCAAGTCTGGTCTGACTCGGGTTCTTTTTGTTTTGTTTTTAATACAGTGATGCCAAAATCATGGCTTCTGGGATCCCAGGTAGTATTTTTTATATGTACAGGTTTGGGTTACCACTACTATGATTCCTGTCTGCACAGGCAGGACTGATGCTTTTGTTTTCTACAAGATATTTAGGAGAATAGAGCTCTTGTACAAAGCTAGTAAGAAGAGAGCACAGCAACGTAGCATCGTCAAAAATATGTGCCATGTTATTTTCTGTTACACTTCAGATATTGTCTTAAGTAGTTCTCAGACTAAGAAAATTTATTACAGTATAATAGGTGTGATAGTCTCAAGTGTGAGTGAAGTATCCATAAAAATATCATTGAGTGGGAGGTCACAGTGAACTGTTGTGCTGTCGTGTTAAAAGAAAAAGTTATTCTTGGAAATACGCTCTCTTCCAGTTAATGTGATATTGGAAGATACTCTCTCTACAGGTGTACTCTGACTTCTGTACAAACCAGGCAGGATCAGCATATAGGATTACTGTTTTGTTTTCATTTTCTTTTTCACATACCTAAACTATTTCACATTCATTTTCACATCCAGTTAAGTTGGGTTCTCTTTAGTTCCTTGTTTCTCTAGTGCTTGATTTTATTGTTGTATTCCCTACACCAATGTACTGATTTATATAGCCATCTTTAAACTGGATTTATCGGATTTTCCCCTTGAAGTTGAAATGTACTAACACTGGTTTTGTCTTAACATTTGCTGCTAAGTTGAACTTTGACTTGTAGGTCATTGATCCGGAACAATTTTTACAATATCTCCTAACAACAGATTGCTCTTAGATTACATGGAGATTTTGTGCATTTAGCTTCAACAAATGTACCAGATTTACTACCATGGGTAATTCTTATATAAGCCAAATTACATAATCATCTACCTCCAACAAATACGCTATGTATTTCTGTCATTTTAACCCCCTCATCCCCAAAACAGGATGGCAAGAACAGCGAGATGAAAATTAATGGTGTGCATAGTGAATCCAAACTATAGCCTTCCTATTACTTTTGATCGTGGGAAAGTAGCAAAAGCCAAGCAACACTGCCTAACAATTCAGATGCTTTTTAAGTTCTCCAGTTTTCACGTTAGATTTGAGAAACATTGTAATAATGTGTTTTATTATTATTATTTCTCAATTTGTAGGAAACAAGAGATTTGCCCCCAGAAGGGATTATGGATCTTAATGCACAAGCCAAAAAAAAGTAATGTTAATTTCTTATCTCCAAAAGTATAATTATAAAAGCACTGTTAAAATGTAAGCTTTAACCGTTTGACTACTGCTGAGTTAAATTTAGAAGAACGAACCTTTTGTGCAGGTGAATATGCCCATGCACCCTTCAAAATCTGGTGCTATCACTGAAGATGATCTGATAAATTTGGTGCAGAACAAGTGCAGCTTTTTCCATTTGGTGTGGATATTAGAGGAAACATGGTTTATAGGAGTGTGTAGTTTCAAAGCATTGTATTGTGCTTCTTCTCTTTCACCTAATCTGTTAGTAAACAACCTGTGCCAAAGTGTTGCAGGAAGCCATGTGGAAATTATTTTGATTGAAACATTGCAAATAAAAACAAATCACCATTAGAGAACTACTTTTCCAAATAGCAAAAATAGATGTTCCCTTACAAGAAAGGTTTTCATAAAATTCCAGTCTTTGAGGTATTTTTCCTTCACTCAGTACAACTATCATCTTCTAAGTAGCCGGTAGATCAGTCATTCCAAATATGTAGGGAAAAGGTTATACTACAGTAAAAGCAGAAGTGACTACCAATTTTTTGTACAGAGTGGACTGGACACATCCACTTCTTAGTATCCCTAAGGAGACTTAATATGGCAGCAATATGATGGGGATCTTCAGAGAAAAAAAAAAGAAAGAGGAAGAATGTGATTACTCTGGATGAGTAATGGTTAGGCAAGATTAATTACTGTGTCAGTCAAGGGGAGGAAACTACTTCTACTTTCAGTATCAAACTCTCAAGGAAGTTACTGCATGATGTCATAGATATATGACACAGAAGTCATGGTTCAGAGTCCATACAGAACAACGCAGACGTAAAGAAAACAATGTGCTGAGGTACCTGTACCATGTGATTTCTGGACACAGGCACATGCTGCAGTGTAATTTAGGTAGGTTAGTGGGACTTGCAAAGGTACAAACAGCTCAAAAGGAGCAGTTAAAAAAATGTATTGCTTTGATAGCAGAAATTCTTCATGCATTAAAACCTTAAGATTTTTGCTAGGGTTCCCAATCCAAGTATAAAATAGAGCAATGCAGAATTAAATAGTATTGGGCTGAATATAGCTGATCATTGTCAGCTGCAACTAGGAAACTATTTCCTGGTTTTGTTTAGATTGTGACTTATTGTGTTAATATTTGTTGGTTTTTTTTGATTAATACAGTTCCCTAGTGGCGCCTGGCAGAACTGTTCTCAGAAGTCATCCCTGAATGTCATGATCAAAATAAAGCTATATACGTTAAACTTTTAGCCCGTTCCAAGTTCAGTCATAGCAGCACAGAATTCTGTGTTTTGGCACATTGTTAAAAAGTCAGTCACTCTGTTCCAAGGCCAGATCAAGAAAATGAGGTCAATCTGAGATCAAACTGGCCTTCTTGGAGAAAAAAAAAAAAAATCGTGCCAAGAACAAGCTATCAATTTGGGATTAGCAAGCTTTCATTCTACACAGAATTTCATTTGCAGTTGTCCCTGTGTGTAATACAACAAAGTAGCACAGATGGTGCAGTCTCTGTGATCTTCTGTGTTTCTCATTTTCAGCACTTGTAAATTCATTTCCCACTACATTCATCTTTAAGTTCACCGATGTCCCGTAAAATGCATAGGACAGAGTGGAAATGAGATTCCCTGCTGGTAAAATGGAAGTCAGCTGATGGCACAGTAGGCTACTGGACACATAATGGAAAAACAGAAGCTAATGTAGAAGTTTTTAGAAGCCCTGAAACATTAAAATCTTGCTTCTTTGTGAATGGGGGAGGAAAAAAAAAAGATTTTGAAATGGCAGGATATAGAGAACCTTGTCCTATGGATGCACTAAAGGAAAGTCACAGGATGACAATGCATGCCAGTGAAAAGAAGGTGGAAAATTTCTATTCCTTCATACTCAAATCTCTCTTCGCATTGCTTTCTTGCATCATATGGAAGGACTTTTTACTGTTGTTGCTTCATCTTTTGAACAACCATCCTGTTATCAGCACTAGAAATCAGGCTTGCCAAACCCAGATCAACCAACTCCTTTCATCATAGCTCTCAGAAAAGGCCACAGGATTTCTGTATTTATTTTTTTTTTTTTAGAGTTGATGACTGGAACAGACAAAAGCTTTAAATATCATGCAAAGAAAATTGGGTTGTATATTTGCTCACAGTTTTTAGATAGCATTAACTGTCACTGACAGAAAAGAAGCTCTATATCAGTTTCTTTTGCACTTTATCACAAGCAGCCCATAACTGCTAACTGTCAATGAGGGCATCAAATTTCACAACCTGTCCCCTAAATGTTTTTAAAGGTAAAGATAGACTTTGCTTAACTTACCAGAACTCAACCCATCTTAAAAATTTTAAATCTTGGTCATTCAGGTTATAGTTTAGGTGATAGTGGGGTTATGCCAATACAAAATGCAAAGGTAAGCATTATTACCCATTAATGGTATTAAAGAGTAGCATTCACTACTCTTGCAAAACTTCAATATAAAATACAGTTCCTAATAGAAAGTACAGCACAGAAAATGATAAAATAGCACAAAGATTCTTGGCCCGTATTTTTTCTGATTCCAGGTAATCCAGTGTAAGTCAGTAAATGAAATTTCATTCTATGAACTGTCTCAGAACAGATCAATAAGAAACTGTAGTTTGTCTCTACTGCTTGCAGTACATTTTCCCCGTTCTAATAAGATACTAGTACAATGGGAATCTGAACTCTACAGTCTCAAAGCCCAGTACTTACCTGGGCTCATGCAGCTGTATTTCACAGCAGAAGTCTGAAGAGTAATCAAACGCTTAAAGGACCATCGGATTACTGCAGGTCTTCCTTTTAGAAACAGTTTTATTAATTCAGACGGGTGTCTGACTCATACTTCAGCCTTTGGATGCTGTTCCTAGACAGCCTAGCTTTCCATTCCCCTTTGTCAGTTACAGAATATCTAGTGTACAAATTTTAGTGCTTGTATAGTCACCAATTTAACCAAGTTTAAATAAGGCAGCTGCCTCTTCTACTTCTCACATCATGTTGTTTGTAAACAAAAAGCAAGAAGCAGAAAATACATCCCTAATCAGATTTCAGCTGTCTTGTTCTGGAAGCTACTGCATGCATGTTGGTGTATCCATACACTTGCATGTATTGAACAGAAGTAAGAAAAGTGTCTGGTAGCCATCATTGTTGGGCATTTAAGAGATTAGATTTTTTTTTTTGTTTATCTTCTTCAACAACAGAATAAGGATGGAAAATCTGTTCTGATGAGTGCAATCACATTAGTATTGATGGTAATCAAAATACCATTTAGTCTTCAATGTCTGTTTCGTTGATACAAAGATAACCTCTGAAGTCACTGTAGCAAGCATGGAATTAGCATCTCCATTCTTGTTTGAGAGGCGTCTGAAACAAAATCTCATGTTTGAGAGGTGATGTTTGGAAACCTTTGGCTCTGCTGTGGATTCAGACTGTAGAGTTGACAGTGACTTGAAGGTTTTCATAAACAACAGGAATAGTGGAATCAGTGATTTTTTCACCCTTGGATGATTATATATATGTTTCTGTTCTGCTTGATGCTGAAGAGGTCTTAACTGGAATATTGTATTCATTATAGGGTACCATTCTTCAGAAAGATGTAATAAATATGCAAGAAACCAGAAAAGAGTAACAAGAATCAGAGGGTTAGGAATGAAGAAAAGAGTGAAATAAGATTAAATGGTAGGAAAAAGGGAGACGATGGAGAAGGACAACTCCCTTTCAGGGTGTTTTTTAACAGGCTGGGAAGGCACTTCTTAAGGATGATCCAGCTGGCAACATACAGATACAATTGCCTTGCAGGCCTGTTCTGCTAAATCAGAAGAAAAGGGCAGAGGCAGCGTACTGTGCCCTAACAGCCACATGCCTTTTGGTGCAGATATCTTGCATGACCGGTCGTTCCTAAATTCCAAGGGAGCATTGCCACATCCACAGAGAGACCTACTGAAGTTGTGCTTTTGTACTAGTACAATTCTAGGACTGGGGATATTTTCTAAAAATGAGTGAACTGAGGCTGATGTTTGAGACATGCAAAGTACTAGTATTCTGTTATTTTAACTGAAATTTCAGTAATACATTTGAGAGTGCTTTTTTGAAGTAAGTAGGAAAATGGGGCTGCCTAGGACTATCATTAAGAACTAGAAATCAGTTTTGATTCCTTTTCTTTTCCGTTTTTATAGGCAAGGAGAAGTAATTCTCATGAACTTTTGAAAAAATGCCTTTCACCAAAATGCTATTCACCAAACTGGAAAGTGTTGATTGCTTTAAGAGCAAATACTCTGCAGATTTTCTTTTCCTGATAGACTATCATTTTTATCTGGCAGGTGGCATTAGAACTCCTCTGGGGGTAACATGAGGTACAGTGTGGTTGCTAAGGGCAACTGCCTTTTTTTAATGCTTTTCTTGACATTAAAGAGCGCTTAATTTTATATATATATATTGTAAGAGTATCCACCTGGACGCTTTCCTGCTAAACCTACTGTAGGGAACCTGTTTTTAGCAGGGAGGTTGGTATTGATGATCTCCAGAGGTCCCTTCCGACCCCTACAATTCTGTGATTAGTTAATATTTCGGATTAGGTCCTTTAAGTAATAACAAAACAAGAAAAGCTGGCTTGCAACTTACAGAATTTTCTACAGCTGGAATTGATGGTCTCCATGGCTGGCTGTTCAAGAAAAAGGCCAGGGACTTGAAGGGCATGGAAAGCAAAATTATTTTAATTTTCATTAATCGTTCTCCCAGTCAGATTTGATACATGTAGCAAGGGTAGTCTATACAACACTTTTCTACCTCTGTCTTTTGTGCAGTATTAAGTATTTGATAAACCCAGGGACTTCAGTCTCCAAGACGATCAGCTGACATACATAATTCAAGGATTCATGCTGTATTTTTACTTTTAGTTTAAACTTGTAACCCTTGAGAGATGGGGGGGACTGTCATTGTCATTTCATATAGAAATGTGCATCGTCACCTCATGTATCTACTTCATATGACTGTCTGACAACGCACTTCTCAACAAGCATAGAAGACTAAATGTACAGTTTGTGTGTTTGTTTAGTGGAAGATGAGTTCACAACTAGCCCTACATGAGTTCCTGAGAAGGCAAAAAAGGAAAAACCAGGAGAAAAGCCACCTTTTGCTTCCATCTAGGGCTAGTCTGAGATTTGGGCTCCTTAATTGCTGTGACTGTGCAGAACTAGTGCTGACTTTTCTAACCTCATTCTTAGAGATCAGCCTTTCCTTTGTTTTCAGAAAGGAGCTAAGGGAGGCTGTAACTTCATCTGGAATGAGATACCTTCCTATCTTCTCTTCCTTTGAGCTTTGCAGTAAAAACCTGTTGGTGCTTTACACCAACTGAATAGTTAGGCTCTAACCTTGTAAAGATTAAAACATGCACTTAACCTTACAGGCTCTGAACAATCTCAGTGAAGTCAGCAGAAGTAAGGTTAATGCGCAACGGTCAACACAGCTCAGTCTTTGTAGGGCTGCAAATTTAATTGGTAAATGCCGTAGAACAGAAGCCCTAGTAGAGATTGTCCCATGGCTGTCATAAGGCGGTCAGAGCTGCCAGTTGTTATGACAGTGCAGGCAATTAATGAGGATAGTAATTATGGTGATAATGTACATAGCAAGGTATTTCTGGACAGCAATGAAATATAGGTAGATAGGACAAAATATCCCATACTTAGGATGTTGACAAATGATTGAAAGCAATTAAGGTACCATGTTCTAACGAGTTTCCATTCATCACCTGAGCCACAGCACATTCCCCTGTCTGTACCTCACTGAAGATATGATGTGTGTTAGGTCCACACTGCTTCAGCTAATAGATTTCAGTTTCCAATTACAGTGGGCAAGGAGCATGCATCCAGTCATTTAGCTCAGCTGACAGCTGGTAACTGGTTATGCCATGCTGGTTCACTCGTGTGCAATCATCTGATCATATCCTCCGATATTCTACGCTTATTTCTTTATATATCCTATTGCTCTTGATAATTCTTATTTTCTTCAAGCTTCACACAAATCTGAGAGAAGTTCAGGAAATAAAATGATACAGATAAACAAGTAACTGTGCAGTAAGCTTCCTTGTGAAGTTACCTTGTGTCACTGCTCCTCTGACTGAAAGCAGAACCTGCCTGAGCAGTATTTTCTGTAGACCAATAGATGCACAGGAGAGCTGCTTGCAAGTATTGATCTGCAGTTGCAGTTCCAATCCAGTGCAAAACTGTTCACATGCCAAGGTCAGTTCAGTAAAAAATGTTTCGGTCCTTGTATTTGGACTATGGGTACATGGAATAAAACAGGATATAGAACTTGCATATTAAGAGTTATGTCTGTTCTGTTTATTTTCTTTCCCCAGATTTGTAAGAGCAAAGCTAAGGAGTCCCAGCAGTATTATCACAGCCTGTCTATCCGGCAGAGTCTGGCTATCAACTTTAACATCCAGCAGGACTGTGGCCATTTCCTTGCTGAAGTCCCAGTTCGCCTCCTTCCATGGGAGGATCCTGATGCACCAGAGGTTGAAGAAGAAGAAGATCAAGAAGAAGAAGAGAAAGAACCTGAGCAAAAGAACAGAGATGCTTCTTCCAATACAGAGGCTTCACAGAAGGACAGCTCAAGTAATCAGGGGACCATCAGCAAGCCTCGCAGCCGTGTCGTAGTCATCACGCGGGAGGTTCCGTACTTAACTGTGGCTGACTTCGTGCGAGAGTCTGCACCCCGCCATGCAAAAAGCCCAGATTTGTATGAGAGGCAGGTCTGTCTCCTCCTTTTACAGCTGTGTTTGGGGCTGGAACACCTGAAGCCTTATCATATCACACACTGTGATCTGCGGCTAGAGAACCTGCTGCTGGTTCATTCCAGGCCAGGAGGCAGCCCCCTGGGCTCTGAGTCCATGGAGCCCGGTCCCAACACGGCTTGCCCCGCCAGGTTAATAGTGAGCAACTTCTCGCAGGCCAAGCAGAAGAGTCATATGGTGGATCCTGAGGTCCTAAGGGATCAGTCCCGCCTGGCTCCAGAAATCATCACTGCCACACAGTACAAAAAGTGTGATGAATTCCAGACTGGCATCCTTATCTACGAAATGCTGCACTTACCCAATCCCTTTGATGAGAATCCAGAGCTGAAGGAGAAGGAATACACTCGTGCTGATCTCCCCAAGATCCCTTGCCGTTCTCTCTACTCTCAAGGGCTTCAACAACTTGCCAGCTGCCTGCTAAATCCCAACCCTTCAGAGAGGATCCTGATATCAGAAGCCAAGGGAATCCTTCAGTGTTTGCTTTGGGGTCCACGTGAGGACTTATTTCATGCTCTGAGAACATCTTCCAACCCAGCTCGGAGAGATGCTGTCCTTCAGAACTGGCTGGACATCAAAAGGACGCTGCTGATGATCAAGTTTGCAGAGAAGTCCTTTGACAGGGACTGTGGAGTTATTCTGGAAGACTGGCTTTGTTGTCAATATCTGGCTTTTGCCACTATAGACTCACTTCATCGCATTGTGAGAATCATGCAGCAGCACTAGTTTGTAGAACCTGTTGCTTTTCGTGAAGCACCTCCACCCCAGCCCACACTCTAACCTGCGCTAGGGCTCACACTTTGAACAAGTGTTTCAACAAAGGCCTAGATATCAAAGCCAGCAACTCTGAGCAAATAAGTTCTGATTGGAGAAATTGCATCCCGTACCCAATGTGGCAGAAACTTTACTTTTTTGCCAGGCCTCTTAGGGATTAATTTTATACACTCGACTGCATTTGTATCAGACACTTTGTAACTAGATTAATATCTGGATGAAAAGGAGAGCAAACTTTGATACCACTATTTCTATCACTGCAGTAAACAAATCGCCCTCCTCTTCTGGGTAGTTTCTGTCATTTCTGTATGTAGCATTGGTAGTGAGTAGCAGTGACCATTAGCAGAGATGGGAGTTGTACATGGGAGATAAATGACCCACGTTGCCCCGTGCCACAAAACACTCCACTGCCTTCAATCCCCATCCCAGGCAAAATTTTCTCTCACCTTAGACCCCTTACCGTGGGGCTGGACTCCTCTTCCCTTTGGTCTCAACCAAATGGTTTCTGATCTTTCTGTTACGTTTTATGCCTTCTTTTTTCCTTGCAGATATGGTTATCCTGCTGATTGCAGCAATGTTGGCGGACAGTAAGCATCTGTGTTCTGTCCTCTTCCCTCCTCTGTCCCTGACTTGCTGCCTACCCATATCCTTTCTAATCACAGATCCTTGATTTCAACCATGCTGCCTTAATTGGACCATTATCCTTAGCTTAAGACCTCTGCATTAAGAAGCAGAATATGCACGCTTGGTCTTTCCCATTTCCCCTACGTGACACTTGCCAGTCTGGACAGTTGATGTACTGTAGCTATAATTCTGTTTATACCAGAAAAATGCAACACACAGTGGGCAATTGAAATTCCCCTTCCATCGCAAACGGCACTAACGCCTGACTTGAAATGGATAAGATGTACATAACCTTCTCTGACAATCACTGCTGTGAACTGGGGTTGAAAATAACAACCACCTTTTCTGTTTTATTTTGTTTTGCTCTTGTCACTTGTGCCATATTGCAAAATGGGACTGAAATTGGCTCTGCTGGTATGTTGGCAGGAGTTAGAAATGCTTAGAGCTTGTCTGTGTGTAGCTCACAGGCCACATGGAAACACTTTTACTGCAGACACAGTTCTCTGAAGGGTAAAAACAAGGGGGCAAAAACACTGTTGTTTAATTATTGAGGGAGCTGTTAAGTTTGGCAGCCACAACTATAACAGTATCGTGATCCATTTTTCCCACAGTGGTGTTTGGCTGCCTGTCTCCTGTCTGCTGTAACTAGTGTTTTCTCATGTTGCTACAGACAACACCCTAAAAATGGCATGTTGTCAAAATAGCTCAAAGAGCATTGCAGACAGGTTTTGGACTAGAGCAGGAATAATTGAGTATTAAAGAGACAAAATTAAAAAAAAAAAAATCAACCTGAAGGAGCTTTTCACTTTTAGAGGCAGCTGCTGACTTTCTTCCCTGGCCTAATGGATGTTTCCTACAGAACCGCTGCAGTTGTACAGACATTATTTTTGCTCAGTATTGCTAGGCTCTGAATTGTTTCCTGAATCACTCTGAAGAATTCATTTGGATGCAGAAGAAAAAGCGATACTGAATATTCTGACCCAGGGGATGGAAAGCAGACAGCCCTAGTTATGAGCCTGTGCTTCTCTTCTATGGATCTATGTGCAATTCTTGTATGTATTTTTTAAAGCTGTACATTACAGTGTTCACTTTACACACCAGCCTTTACCTGATGCTAGATCTGCAGCCCCTTCCTTTTACTTTCCCGGCACATAAATGCACAGATATCCATGTGTTCTTTTTATGGATTGATATTTCATTTTAATTGTTAAAACTGTGAGGAATCAATTCACTTCAGCCTTGAAACAAATAGCCACTTTATACAGCATATGCATGTTTGGACCAGATGCATGGAAACTGAACAAACAGTCCTGCAGGCTTAAGGTCAGCGAAACTAGCTCTGGATCCACACCATTCACTCGGAGGGGTTGAAATTTCCGTATTAATCTTCTCTGGCATCTATCAGAGCTAAGCGGAATAGCGTGTAGAAGCCTACATCGATTGTGCCATAGTATGTAGACAGTCTCTGTGACCTTTCTAAAGACTTTTTGAAACTTCTGATGATTATTCTTGTGTTTGATTCACCTGTATCAGTGAAGGATCAGGCAAGGATAAGGATAATATATTTTCATGTGATATATATTTTTTTCTTTCTCTTTTTGGCAAGAAGGTCAGGATGGCAGCATTGACTGGGGGGGGAGGGAAGGGAGGAAGAGGACAGTGCTTTAAAAGCCCAAGTGCAATGTGTGTAGTTGAGGTACTTCACTACATCAGGAAAGAAAGTTTCTATACTACTGCTGAGCAGCTTGTAGAACCTTTAAAAGAATCACGCATGTGTTCAGTGCAGCTTTGCTTTCTCTGGAGACAGGAGGGCAATACCCTCACAGCTTAAGTACACTGAGCATGACAAGTCACACGCGTACTATCTGCTAGCTACTAGTCACAATGTGTTGAGCTAAGAGTAGGGCTTCTTGTTCTCTGTAGTCTGGTTTTGTGTTCGTTTCGTAGTGCCTGTGTGCACACAACTTCTCACCTAGCTCATATAGGCTGTATGAGCAGTTCTTGGACCACTTGCCGTTGTAGTGGGCTCGTTCCCTGAGGCTGGTAGGTTTCCGTGTTTACGGACATGTGTTCTCAGTCTCACTTTCATGTCAACACGCACATGCAAAGTTGAATTTTGAATGTTTTACAACCATACGTATTTAATGCAGCTGGTCCAAAGCCTTCGTATCTCTAGCTATCTAATTTCAGTTAGTGTTTTTTGTGATGAACCAATACTCATTTTAACTCTGCAGTATAATCAAGCATGGATAGATGTTCACTACCAATCTCTTTCTTGTGCAGCACTGGGTAAACTTTAGTAATTTGTAATGTTGTGTGTGTTTTCTTTAAAAAAGAAAGAATGATCAAAGAAGTCAAACACAATCTGGCCTGAGGTATTCCTCAGGGGAGCTAGCGGCTGACTTTGCAGATGTGCCCATAACTGATGATTGTAACTGTTTGTGGTAGTCCTCCATCCTAGCAACAGATTATGCCACATAAATATCTGAGAATGTATGCATTAAACTGATTGTAAACAAATCCTAAGAATGCTACAGCATAATTGCTAAGCAAAAGGAAAAAAACCCGCTCTGTAGTTGGGATCCTGTGTAGGACAGGAACAAAACCCCTGGCTGTGCATGCTTTAACTTCCATGACTATGTGCACAGATCTTGAATTTTTTTTAGCAGTGTCGCACTTTCAGTTGATCTCAAGAAATAGGAAGAGCTGCAAATCTCAGATAACAGTATTGACTGTAAATATATATTTTTCTATTAATAAAAGCTGTCGTTCACATATTTTTAACATGAACTCTAAAGTTTTTTCCAGTGGAAACTAATTTCTGGAAAATCAAATGCTTGCTTGAACTATGTTGAGTGGTTTCTGATCCTATTAGAGCCATTAAAAACCTCTCTAATGTTACAGAGAGAGCACAGTGATTGGATTCACAACATTTAGTGCCTTGTCAAAAAAAATTAAAATGAAGCTGGTCAGTTGGTAGAAATCTTATTCTTCCCATAATAGCCCTATAAATAATACTGCCTATGTTAAGATGCAAAAGACTTGAAAAAATTAAAAGCTGTACTTCATACAATACTGAGCTGACCTTTTCAATAAAATCTTTTTCTGGAGTTTCAGTTATTTGAACAGGTTCCTTTAAATTGCTTGTAGTACAGCAGAAACCTGAATAACCACCGAAATTGTGGGCTTTCAAGTTTGGAACGTAATCTGCACAGGGAGAATAATATACCAAGTTAATTGGTCCAGACTGACTCCTGCATCAAAACAAGTCTAATGCTTTGACAATCTACTGCACGCGCTCGGCTTCTAGGAGAGGAGGAATCAGAAGGAGGTAAGGTGTGCTGCTCCTGATGTAAGTAGTGGATGTGCTGCACACCGCACTGTGGTGTGAAATGCAAATCTCTAGTAAAAGAGGAGTTCTGAAAAAAATATTCCTGAGGTGTTATGGAAAATGGGTTTGTTCTGTATTTCTTAAATTGGAATTACTTATTCACTAATTAGCTTTCAGGCCTCAGATCTGCTCCAGTCAGTACGCAGAAGCAGAACCAGCTGAGATAAAGAGAATCAATTAGTAAAACCTTAGCTAGAAAGTTTCAGGAATGAGGGAATCCAGAATTTTGTTCTGGAGCCTCAAGACTGTCCAGTAAAGAGGCCTGGTCTCTTTTCAATATTCAGACCTGATTAAATCAACAACTCAAACTAGGATACTGTGCTGCTGGCCTGCAGACAAGAATGCACATATCATTTACAAAAATACCCCACCTTAAATCTTGTATGCTCCACACATCCCAGCAGCACCCACAAGGTATGAATGGATCATCTTGGCATTTTAACACAGGGGAATTCCAACGTACTAGAGAGAAAAATGTATTATTTAAATAAATCAGATGTGTGCTAGCAATCAGCTGCTTGGAGAATTCATTCAGCAGCTTCCCACTGTAGGGCCCTAACTTTAGTATGTAAAAATAGTATTTGCTGCTGAATGAAATGTATGTTTCTCAATTCTTGTGCTGAGAAGCCCCACCTAAATTAATATATTTTTTGTTTGTAATAACAAATTCATATGTAAATATAAATTAAATAATCCTGTTATTATTTAAATCAGTTGCAACTTTAGTGAGGGATACAATGGAAACTGAATCAGACCTTTTAATGCACTTTCATTTCCCCTTTACCCCAAACAAGAATTAAAATGTCTGTTTCTCTGTAGAAACAGCCTATGACTGTTAAACTGTTACTTGGTGCGTGACTGGGCCATCTATTTAGCTCTGATTTTGCAAAGGTAGTGTTGGTTCTGCTAAAACACCTATAAAACTTCGAGCACGATCAGAGCCCTTCAGTCCATGTGTAGAGAGATGTGATGATGATTTAGTTATGCAGTAAGATAACATCAAAGAAGCGCAGAATAGAATTTTAAATACCTCTTTAATAACAGGCCTGTGGAAATACTCTGTAAACAATCATCTGGATTCCTAACACACAAAAAATACTTTTCAGAAGAAATACTAAGGAGACGTTTCTTTAGGGGAGCCTCAACTCCAAAAGGAGGAACGAGTCTTTGCTGCTGCTGAGTTGCAGTGAATTTCTGATAGATATTTGTATAGATTTTACTATTCACCTGGATGCAGTATTAGAAGGATGGTGGTTTTGAACAGACGTAGAATGTAATTTAAATAATTTCCTATAAGCCTCCTTGCGTTGGTGCTCCACTCAGCATTTAGTTGGAAACCACAGAATGCTTTCAGATCAAGCAGAGTTGCCAGTCAGAAATGAAATACTCAGCTTACCTGTACATTAGCATTTTACCATTCTACAGAATTTAAGAATTTGGACTGAACTTCAGATTGCAAAAATTACTTTTTGCATACACCCAAGGGGAAAATTTCAGGGATTTAGAAAAGGATGGAATTTTTTTTTATGTGGAAGAAATATATGTTCACATATATACATGAATATATGAGTGTGTGTGGGCACATTCATATATGTATGTATGTATATGAAATTTTGTATCCTAAAAATATTCTTTGCCCCTTCCCATTTGCAAATATATATATTATATATTGTATATATAATATATATTTAGGGCTGTGTCAGTTTGAATCTAGTCATTTCATAAAGAACACTTTCAAAATTGACTAACCTCTGTTTCTTTATCATTTGGCTTGTTGGTAATAGCAGGTTTTGCAGTTGAAATCCTTGGGTTTTTTTCTTTTAAAACTTAATTATGCTGAGCATTTAAGAATATGTTCTTGTTTTTAATAGAAGGGGGGGGAAGTTATTTTTAATTAGGGATTCCAAAATTGATGATCTTTTATAAACGGGATTTCTTTAAAAGACCTTGAATAAGGGATTTATTTTTCTTTAATTTCAACTCCATTCTTGTGGGTAATTTGTATTTGCAATTCCTGGTTGCATTGCTTTATCTGGTGCTTCATATTGACATTTACACATTTTTATATAAGTAAGTATATAAACTTCAAGCCTTCCTTTGTGATCAGGGGCAGTTACACTCTGGTTTGCTGTGGTACTTTGCTGTGTACTCTGTGGCATTCATGTTACTGTGTAAATAAACTAGTTTTATTACACTCAAACTTTTGTTTGTGTTTTTCTTCATAGGAAATTAGCCTAAAATCTGTCCTTCTGAGGAAAACACACGTGGCAAGTCCAGAAAAAAAGGTTTTCCTCCAAGAAAAGTGGGCTGGTTTGCAGCAGCAGCTAGTGTGTGAGTGCAACAGATAGGAGCTTTGGTTGACAAGTGACACTTGGCACCTCTGGCCAAGCACCCCCGCTGCCCAGGGCTCAGGACGCAGAGCTGCCTGCCACCTCTGATGGTGTTTCCCCAGAAGTCTCACCATGGCTGGCTCTGGTTCAGCTCCATGCTGACAAGCAGCAGCGGCAGCCCAAAAATAAACTCCACCAGCAACTGCTGCTGACTGAACAACTGTCTGGTAAAGCCTTCTTAGAGAGAGGTGACTTGACACATTAATGAAAATGAAGACAGCCACGTGTCCGCGCTGGGGCAACTGTTATCACTAAAGGAGCTGAGCCAAAGTTAGCCATTTCCCCAGTGTGGACGGGGCTTAAATGGCCTGATGTGAAGGAATAAAATGGCTCTGAGGGAAATTTTTATATGCTGTGACAAAGTCGGATGCCTCCAAGGCAGTCATCTGCAGTGGAATTCATTTTGTCTGATCCGTTACCTTGAAGCATACAGCCTGATGGAGGGTCTGTGAGAAACAGATGGGATAATATGCATCTTCCGTGATCGTGCAGACACACTTCAGTGGTAGCGAGATCAAACAGCTCAATTTTGTTCCCAGAGTTGATAGGCAGCAATGCTAGCTGCAGATGCTAATTTATTAGCATAGAACAGATGACACCGCATACGTTGGAGCAATGCTGTGGTTCTGCATGACAATTGTGCTGCTTGTAACTACTCTTTTAAAAGAGCCAACATCCTGAGGGCTCGATTCTTCCCACGGTTCCAATGGCTTTGCACAGGTAATGTCATCAATTGCAGTGGGATCACAATTAGTCTAGTGTAACTACTACACGTCTTTTCTTTCACGTTTATTCCTCAGACACAGTTTCAAAGCCTTTCAAAACCAGCTAAAGCTGGTGTCCTCATCCTTTGTAAAAATACAAAGCTAACTGACTCCAGAGATACCAGTAAATATGCAAGACATTTAACAGCCTGATAAATATTTCGGCTCTGCCAGAGCAATCCCTCCTCACTTCAACAAAGTGCCAAGGACTCAGCTAAACAGATTATGCCGTTTGTCAGTGGCAATCACCATGCCAGAGGGAAAAGATACTGAAAAATAGACTGCAACCTTGACAAGACACGATAGTTTTACTAGCTTTACTAAAATCTGTTTGAAATGAATTTTGTTATATCAGTGCAGACTCTCTGGTGGGTGTCCTTAAGTGGTCACAGTCTGGCTCATTGCAGCTTGTGGCAGACGTGAATATAAGTGAAGCCAGCAGATGCCTAGTTCAGGCTGATGCAAGAATTTTCAGGTTTTTCACCTGCCCAGAAGTTCACCTTAATTGTAAACAGGCCCTAAGAAGCTTTGTTCCTATAAATGGCAAACCTTTATTTTCTAGAAAATCTTCATGCTATGCAGGCTGCCTGTTTTGCCAAGTTAGTAAGCATCTGTGCTGCCATACATGAATCACGCCGTCCTCCTTACCCAGCAGTGGCCTCAACCAGAATTACATCGGAGCAGCCAGCTCACAAGGCACAAGTTAAACATTTTGTGCAATCCATCCTGCAGGGAAAGTCTCATCTCAGTTTAATTCTGAGCTAAGACTCCTAGCTCTGTGGAGAAAGGCATGCATTAAAACAACCTGTTTGGCCTTCAAATCTGCTGCACTTCACTTAGTAGTGCTGCTGCTATCTCAGCAGGCAATGCCACAGCCTAGTGCTTAGCCCAGCCACTCGGAAGATGGAGGCAGGATTCTTGCTATCAGCTCATCTCTTTTAGATGAGAACAGAAGTCAAGTGAGTAGCAGCATCTATTGTCTGGAAAACAAGGCACTGAGGGAGCCCTGGGAGAGCAGCTGGAGGAGTGCAAAGCAGATTTATGAGTATTAAACCAGAGAACAAAAAACTACGGCTAGTGAACATTTTCTGTCAGCATATCCTGTTCTTACACCACACACACCCCAATGAGACCTCTTTGTTTTGCTGTCATTGAGGTGTTATTTTGTCACACTGCAGCTGGCAGAGTCAAGACATACAAAAGCAGATGCTGGAAGTAACACAATCATTTAAGGTGAAGCCACAAAATCCTCTGCTACATCTTAGACTCCAAAAAGGTGAGAAATGGGAATGGAGAAGCTTATTGCCAAGTTATTTACCACTCTGTTTTTTTCAGTACCAGCCAGTCTTAACTGTAGTCTGTGTTCAACAGACCCGTACGAAGCTGCTGCCTCAAGCTGCCGCCTGCTGTTTTACAGGTACTGGGATGTGCCGTGCCCCTGCTGTCACCCCAGGCAGAGGGGTCTAGACGGACAGCAGCAGCGTGACATTCAGCAAAGGTAAATGCTGTGTTCTGCCCCAGGACAGAGTAATGCCAGACACAGGTACGGACAGGGAGGTGAGTGACCGGAGAGCAGCCCTGCAGAGAGGGATCTGGGGGTGCTGGTTGACAGCAGGCTCCGCATGAGCCAGCAGTGAGCCCTGGCCACCAAGAGGGCAAACCAATTTTTGGGGGTGCATTAAACACAGCGTAGCCAGCCGGTCACACGAGGGGATTCTCCCACTGTGTTTAGTGCTGGTGAGGCCTTCCCCTGAATATTGTGTGCAGTTCCAGGCTCCGTAATGTAAAGAGGATGCAAAGGTGCTTGATGGCATCCAGGGGGTGGCAACAACACTGGCAAAAGGGTTAGAAGGCATGTCCTGTGAGGAGAGGCTGAGGACGCGTGGTTTGTCTAGTCTGGAGGAAAGGAAATGAAACTAAGAGGTAACCTTGGTGCTCTCTTGCAGCTTCCTGAGGAGGGGAAGAAGAGGGGGCAATGCCGGTCTCTGCTCCCTGGGAACCAACAAAAGGACTCATGGGAACAGCTCAGAGCTGTGCCAGGCGAAGTTCAGAGTAAATATCAGGAAAAAATCTTTACCATGAGGGTGGTGAAACACTGGAACAAGCTTCCTAGCAAAGTGGTTGATGGCCCATGGCTGTGATGTTCACAAGGCCTTTGGACAATGCCCTCACTAATATGCTGTCACTTTTGGTTAGCCATGAAGAGGGCAGGCAGTTGGATTCGATGATCATTGTAGGTCCAACTGAACTATTCTATTCTATTCTGTGCTGCTCTGGTCTATTCTAAGGCACCTGACTTTGCACCCTGGGGTCAGGAGAGCCCCCGCTCCCCTGCATGCTGCCATTTAGAGACAGAAAGGTCCCAAGGGCAGGGGGCAGTTACAGGTCTAATGTCAGATCCTGGGTTTTTCCTGATTTCACGGGACTCTTAGTGGCCTAGATTAACTGCAATGAACAGCAGGTTAACTTTGAAAAATAACAGGAAATCCCTGCAGTTTATATGTGAGAAGCAACTACTTACTTTGCACCTATCCAAAATGCAAAAGGACATAAATGTTCTTCTAAAGAAAATGGAAAATTAAATCAAGATGGTAAAATTATCCTAGTTCCTACATAGGCACTAAATTTATATCAAGTTACTGTTGGAGATGGGCCAGTAGTCTGCCTGTGTTAACAGCCACTACCTCAACCACCAAAAGAAAAGGGACACCCCATGACTGGGGAGCCAGTCATGCAGCTTCTGCTGTCCAGGGGAGCCTGTCTCCACCTAAACTTTCTCCATTTTATTACCGAAAAGGTGGTTTATGCTCTGCAATATTAATCCAGCTCATGTATTTGGGTTTGTATGGACGTTATTGTTGAAGCTGCCATCACAAGACATGGGGTTTGACTAGGCTTCAGACAAGCAGGAGCACCAGGATATCAGATGATGCTGTGGGGTACCGCATGACGATTTGTTTATTGCATTAGTTATAAATGTTACAATGCCATCCCTGCTTCATAAAACCCGCAGTTTGATCATTCCTGACGTGTTTGCAGAAATGAAGCACTCAAGTCATTTCCCCGTGGCATGAAGCATTTCCCTCTGTGTATCATCTTGAAGACTTCTCTGAATGTCTCTGTCCATAGAAACCTCAGCATACAGTCCTGCTCCCTGCCTGCACTGCTGAGAGACCTTTTTGGTCTGTCTCTGAGCTGATATGGCCCAAACTGAGGGAACGGGAGTAAAGATATGGGCATTCTGTAGAAATGTCAGAACGTTTTTATCTCTAGCAGATCAGCACCCTATTTGCTTGTCCTGGGCAGACATTTCTAGGCCTACAGCTTTGTGTTCTGAAAATCCTGGTGGATGCTCACACCAGAACACATGGTTTATTTTTTGGTAATAGGGATTAGACCATGTTTATTCAACTCAAATTTGTTTTGCTGTTTTCGTCTGCTTTTTCAAAATTTTCAAATCCGTCTGGAGTCTTTTACAATCTCCTGCAATTTATGCTAGTCTTGAAAAGATTTCACTTTTTGATTAATCACTTCTTCCTGCAAACCAGCAATTGGAAATGTTGTACTACAACTAGTTCTTGGACAAAGTTGTCTGTCTTCTCTGAAGAATTTGTACTTGTTATGGAAGTTTTGTTCCCTACCTATGATTAAAAAGGTTTTCTTTTGTCCCACTCACTAAGAATACAAAGTGAGTTTTGCGCTGAATGTGAAAAGGATGGAAAAATCTTGATCCAGGGTTCAGTGCCCATTCAGCTAAACCATCTCCCACAGTATTTCTACTCACACGCTATTCACCATTGATTCACAACTGTCCGCTAAGATTTGGGAGCCTCAATCAATTTAAATCTGTCACAAAACGAACAAGAAAGTGACAAGATTGCATAGCTTCTGAAAAGAAAGGAATTCTCAGCTATAGCACTGAAGTGGCAGATCAAGCTGCTTTGACATCCATTTCAGCCCAAACAGTCATCCAGACTGAGACTAGAACTTTGTGCCCTCTGCCACTTCACCATCCTCTTCTCTTTAAGTCCCAAATCTGCTCTATTATTATGCTGATGACTTTAAGCCGTCTCTACTGCAAGCTTCAAAGCCCTTGTGTGATTAGCACGTACAGTTCATGTTATTCCCAAGAATAGCGCAGTGTGGTCCCTTCTGAGATGGTGTGTGGCACCTCTCATTACCAAATCGGTGTGAAATCCGCTGAGTGGAGCTTCAGTGAGAGCCCTGGGAGCTTGGGCAGAGAGTAAGGGCATAGTAGAACACGTCAGGACACTGTGTAAACCATCGCTTTGCTACTGGGTAACTTGCAGAACAGCGAACTGCCACGGCTTGCTCTCCTGCTTTAGTTGAAAGGCAGGCTCTAACAGCTTGGGTTGCCTCATACTGCGCTGGCTATCATTCCAGTACTGATGCGCTGGAAAGGTGCCATCTGCTGAGCAGCAGCCCTGGGCTCCATTCTGCACGATCACTCAGGCATCAGGAGCAGACACAGGGGACGCGGGTGGAAAATAACCAGTCCACGTCTCCTCTGGAGCTGCAGGCTGACCAGAAGGGCTGTTGTTACAACAGTATTGCGGATTTACAGAGAAAAGGATAGTGGGCAATAAGCTACCTACCTCAGACGTGTTTCCAGGACAGTGTTTTAAGAAAAAAGAGGGATGCAGCACAGTCCCCTCAAAGTAAGTCCCTGTCAGCCTCTGTTAAGTGCTATCAGAGCTGGCAGCTCTCAGGCTCCAGAGAACTGGGGCCTTGTGAGATAAATCAGGCCAGGATGATCAGAGAACTGGCCGGGGAGCCTGACCGGTGACTTACCCATAAGCTGGTATGATGTGATAGCAGAGCTGCTCCACGCTGCTCAGTGCATGGCTTGCATTAAGTTACACACCAGAGCTTTTCTTGCCAGCCCTGGCTCCTGCTCTGTGCCAGGGCTGCCAGAAAGCCTGGCTTTTCTGAGGTACCAGGCATCAGCTCCTCCTTGACAGAACCTGCCTCCTGTCCCAAGGCAGTCTGCCACTGCCCATCCATGTCCCCAAACAGGACGTTCCCCAGGCACAGAGGGGAACTTCACGAAGCTGAATCACAGATGTAGCGAGTGCATGGAACACCCCGAGAACAACACCACGTGCTTTGGTTCTCTTACCAGCTGAACCATCTGAATGAAGAAACAGCTCCACACATCAAGGCAAAAATCTGGGAGCACACAAGCCCCAGAAAAACACTGGACAAGAAGCGTCATTTTCCCATAAAAGGGCTAGTGCACAGGTAAACGGTGTCCACCTCCATTTACAGAAAGAGAAGGGTGGAGACGATGCAGTCAGAGCTCAGTGGAGTTATGCCAGCTTATAGCACTAAGCGTCTAACCTATAAATCCCATTAGTAAGTTTAAATAAGTCTAAGAGGAAATGATGTTAGCTTTACCATAGACCTCATTCGGCTTGGAGTCCTGTCAGTGCTCTCCCTTGTGGGCTGAGCCTGTCACCCATGGCTGAGACCACTGGCTGTGCATCTTTGAGGCCTGTGCCAATACCAGTCACTGGCAAAAATAAATTTTCCATAGTATTTCCTCTAATGTTGTAAGTCTTTGTAAGGCTTTCTTTTTCTATTTTTTTTCTCCTTTCCTTTTCTCCCTTGATTCTTTTCCAAATTTTCCTCATCAGTTATTAACTAAATGCCAACTCACTGTGTATTTGGTAGTCAGATTATCTGCTAATGCCTGCCTAAAGCAGTCAACATTGATTAAACAAAAGGGTGGCTATTATGTTATTTTTAATACAAACGATTTAGGTCCTGAGGCTGAGACTGAAGTAGAGCTCAATATAACATGGGATTGAATTAAATTAGAAACATCTGATGGCAAGGTTTCCTACATCTTCTAATTGCCTTCAGAATTTAAGAGAAGACAGTGGTGTGGTTGTGAATTTGTTATCCCCTCTAAAGGTAGAAAGAACAGTTTGTTTTAACTGCATCTGGGAAGTGGGCCTTATCCTCATTACAGTTAGATAAATGCTCACAATCCATGGCAATTTTGAAAGGGGATAAAATATAATAGAAAAGATCCTATCAGTATTAGCCACAAGGTCATTGCTAATTTCTTATTTTGCCCAACGTGGGCTGCATTTCCGAAGCACTATTTGCTCACCCATGCCTGCCCACATCCAACATCCACATGTGCACATGATTGCTGTGGTAGAGAACAGGAGACGTGGCTGCACATAGCCTCTGAAGGCAAAACTGTAAGGTTGCAAGCAAATTGAATATAGTTTTACAGTTATTAAGATTGCTTTTCAATAATATTATTTTCCCACAATTCCCAAAGTGTTTTAATGAAGGGTATTTTGTGATAACACTTTACTAGTGGCTTATTTGGATGCACTTACTAGTTCTGAAGAGCACAGGGAATGAAGATTGCAAACTTGCTCTCTAAAGGGAGCAATCAGTGGGCTCAGGACATTGCCTGAACTGAATTGAGTTCTTCAGCCTTAAAAGTGGCCTTTGTGATCCTACTTCTTCTCCTACTAATCGTTAACAATCCCATTGCTGTTCCTGCCCTGGGTCTGACTTCATCACAGAAATGCTTGTGTTGCACTGTGTTTGTCATTTCAGTGAGGTTCTAAACTGCTCTTGAGAAATGCTTTAACCAACCTCGATTGATTGTTTATTATCTCCTGACAGTAAATGCTTAATTACATAGCTGAGAAGATTGGTTTGTCTTCTTGGCCAGACTTTCTCCTAGAAATGCAGAAAATTAAATTTTTGATGACTTCACTGGATTTGCTTTGTACTTTGATCCAATGAGTGCAGAGAAAATATTATTCCTTCCACTGTGGTAAATGTGAGAGCCTGCCTTACAAAAGCAATAAGCAAATCAAGAGGAAAATGTTGGCATCTTGAAGTTGTGACCTAATTCTATCCCTCACTCTGTTTCCCCTCATCTCCAACACATCGTAAGTTCAAAATAGCTGCCCTTATTCCAAACACTTCTTTCTGCTCAGATAGGTCACGTAAAGAATAAAGGCAGTAACTGCACATAACCCTCTGAAAGACAGAATTGCCACAGAGCTTACCCAAGCAGCAATAACTAGGCTCTAGGATGCTTCACATCTCTGGAAAAGGCCTTTCTTGTGGAAAATGCGGCTGTGTTTTACATCAAAGACAGAATGACTTTACCCTGTTGATTTGAAAAATCAATTGCAATTACTGTCAGGAAATATATTCAAGTTCAGTGTGCAACTCGCTGGACTCCAGGCTCTGAGAATCATCCTATCAGGTACGTGGCAGAACTCTGCTTTTGCAGGAGTTCACATGCAAATAGGCAGCTGCATTTTGGGTGAAGACCTGTGTTTTACAAAGGCGCATCTTTTTTTCTTGGGGTGTGTTCTGAATATTGGTTAAGATAGTTCCATTGAAGGTCACAAAGCTGTGCCAATTTAAAACATCTCTGAGTCCCATTAACAGAAATCAGATGAAAGACATGAAAGGAGAGCTGTAACATATTCTTAGATATGTGGTGAATGTGTCAGATGGTAAAACAGGAGGGTAATGAGCCTAGGAACCCCTAGACAGTTAAATTACTTAACTATAAAACCTCAGCAATTAGGAGATTGTAATAAAAGGCTGCAGATCCCTGGCAAAGCTGTCCAAACTGTGATGAGAAAAGGGCTCCCTCGCACCAAAGGTTCGGCAGTGAGCAAGGTGATTGCTGTGAACAGAAAGCTTCAGATGTGCTGTATCAATACTGCCTTCTCTCCATGTTCTGGTTGTTCAGAATTGGAAAGAGTGAGAAACAACCTGACCAGCCTGGCACTGCTTTTCCTACAGGGTAAGTAAAATGTGTCTCTCCTCACACTGACCTGTCACTTTCCGTAGGTGTGGGTAAAAGGAAAGACTTGTTACCCTTGAGAAAAGAGTAACAGGATTCCTGTCCCTTTGTACCACTCAAGTTATTGGCAGCATTAGTAGTCCAAATGCCAAAAAAATAAAAGAGAAGGAAGGTTTACTGGACACATCCAGCACAGGCAGGACTTTCCTTCTAAGTACATTTCAAAGGGGCCCTGTTAGGAATTTCCTAACCCAGTTTTTTGCCTCTGTTTTTCACTGGGTTTTATTGTTACTTTTTTTTTTCTTTTTAACCAAAAATCAGTAATAACAGTTGTATAGCACATTCTCCCTATTGCTTATATATAAATATATTTTAAAAGCCTACATTAATATACGCCATGTTATTCACTACAGAGAGGTTCCCAAAGGGATTAAAACAACAAAAGATGAAAATATGGGTTTTCAAATGCCGAAATACAGATTTCCTCAGTGGCTTACAGAGCTACTGGCTTCTGTATTTACAATTGTGTTCACCCTTTATTGAATAAAATCTCAGTACAAAGCTATACTTTAACATTCAGCAAGTTCTCTACCTTTCCAAAAATAGCCTCACAGACTTCACAGCCCCAAAATTTGACATGTATGCCATACTGCATTGTTTCATCAGAAAGCAAAGGGATTTGGACACTGTAGGAGGGAGATTTTATACAATACAGTATCATCAGCAAATGTGTGATCTCTAACCTCATCCCTCATGTTCTGCTAAAATATATACACCTGTCTGCTTTATCAGAACAGGTCATCAGATAAACTGCTGTTACCCTACTATTTCTCACCTGGAATATTGATTGATTTTGTAACTAGCTCATTACACTGTGACAAATTATAAGAAACTGTTCTCTAATGAATTAAGACAGCTGCTCCATGAAGAGAGAAAAAGGAAAAGAAAAAGGTAGGAGACTTAGTAAGAGGATTTCATTCCTGCAGCATGTGTGATTACTGCTAGAGGAAGAACCTCGTATGCTGTAACTAGACATAGATGTGCAATGTTTTCTGTAAGTCCATAGGCTGTTCTACAGAAAAAGTACTTTCTGGCTGAAGCAACAGAAATGTATTTTATTTTGTGGTATGGAAATATCTATGTGATAGAGATCCATAGCAGCTGCGGTGATTGCCTGAGATGTGTGGGATATAGAGGATTTCTGAGTTAAAAACCCGATGTACCAGTCGATTACATTGGGTTTAAGATGAAATAGAACTTTACTGGAATCAATGGTACGACTGTGTAACACACTGGAGAGTTAAGCTCCATAGCTTTTTACTTGTTCTTTGTTTGCAGGAAAATGAAAACCTCTTGTAGCTTAACAGCTTCTGTGACAAGACTGCTCAGAATTCATGTATCCACAGTTAAGGCACTGGAGGATGCTTACAAATGGATCACCCAATTCATTGGTGTTGTGGATGTAAACACTAACAACTGCACCCTACAGCACCCGCACCCTACAGCAAAGTGGCCATCTGCAAAACTAACCAGATGTCCCCTGTATTTGTTCTGCAGCAAAGTGAATGTGGCTTTACAGAGGACGGCTGCAAAATAAAGTAGATGACTGAATGGAACAGAAGTGGGCAGCAACACTGAAAGGCGCAGACTGAACTGCTGTCTCAGCCAGGCAGGAAGAAAGCAGGGACAGCCAAGAAAAGCTGGGTGCCAGATAACAATCTACATGCTTGTCTTGTGACTGTCAAGGTTGGAACAGTGAATATGGAGCTCTGCCTGTGGAGCCTTTGTCAGACGCTAAGAGGAAAGCATGCCCATACTGTTAAGACATGAGAAAGAGGCCACAAGCATGAGCAAATCCTCTGGTTCATCTTCACAAATAACAATGACAGAAGCCAAAGTCTGGAAAGAGGAATGGTGGTGTATCTCTGTGTTGGTGAGGAGGTTGTGCCTGGCAATGAGAATGTAAGGAGAAAGTCTGCTGGGGAATATTGACTGACTCACAATGTGCAAGGTACATAAACCCCTCCTTTGGGATCCTGCTGGTGCAGAAGTCACCAAATGATGCCATACGTACAGACTTCAAAGTTCTTTGTCTTTACATGGGAACATATACGGCCTTTGAGGAAATATTTTGTTCTTTTTACTTTTGTGAAGCCTTTCCTTTCAAGTTTAATTTGTATCTTAGTCTTTTCACCTCCAATTACGTTTTGGGTAGTGCTGTTTATTCAGAACAGTCTTGGTATTGGCATTTTTGAAGGGGTATTTACAAGCATGATAGTTGCAGCCATACCTGTGAAAAATGAAGCCTGAAAATCTGCCTCACAGTGGGTAAAAGACATAGTCCATAAAATTGCTACCATGTAATAAAAGAAACCTTCCAAGGATGTGGTGAGGATTAAATAATGCTAGTACGGTACTTAGGCTTTTGGGATTAAAATAACTACAGAAGAGCAAAGCATTCTTATCTATTATTAATAAAACGCCAACTGTATCCATCTCCTAAGCATCTTCCCTCTGAAATGCTTTAACCATCCTGCTTCAACTAATCAATAATTTTAAGACAATCAGCACAAATATTCAGAATACAGATTCCCCTTTTTCCCCTTCATCACCCTTTAGAGCACGGTTGCTCTCATTACAACGGGTATCAGAAGTCACATGCACTGCAGCTCTGACTATCGGGAGAACCGAAATACATTAGAGCACAGATTTGACCGTCTCCTTGAGATGTTGAGAAATAACCAGTAGATGGCAGCAAATGGCACTCCAGGGAGTACAATAGCCTGAAGGTGAAAGCCTGCGAGCTGCTAAAACAGTCAGTGTTAGCAATTAGGTGGTTTTTCTCTTCTACCCGTTATGAGCTAAACTCATTTATTTTGCTCTTTGCAGAGAGAACAAAGCCGTATGAGATTTTCACAATTTTGTCCTCAACTGGTGCATAACACAGTAAAAATTTAGTAGCACTTTAAAGTAACTTGTCATTTTCATAAAATTTATAATTATTTGAATCATTTATTCCCCCAAATTAAGGCTATCGCTATAGGTCCTTTTGCATAAATCATGAAGACCATTAAAAATAGTTTCTGGAGAAGAGCAATTTGTTATGAAATGAAGGTCAATCTCATTAGATCATGGTAGCAGGTATCTTAATAACATCCTGGCAGAAACGAGGTATCTCATTACAGAAGTTGTATTTTGTTTGAAATATTAGGTCATCGTTAAGTGAGTGCTAAGATACACATAATATTGGATGACATCAATTATTTCCCTGAAAAAACTGGCCTACAGTACTACACAAAGCTCAACTTTTTTATTATTATTATTTTTTTCCTAGCTGAATTCACCTATTCGATACCAGTTTGTTTTGTTGCTCCTTCTGGATACTGTGCCACAGCTGGCTTGCTAGAACTACACAGAGGGCTGATTTTGGAGTGTGACTCAGCAAACTGCAACTGGTAAGGAAAATGTGTCATTGACCATGCTTTAAACAGCTGAGGAGGACTAAGCTTAGAAGGGAAAAGAGGCATTTACAGAGTGCAGAAGTAAACATTGTTTTTGTAACCGATGTTTACAAGTTACTGTCCCTCTAATTACCCTGCCCTTTTGGAATGTACCAAGTGTGTGTTTTTTTTTCCAGATCTTTCGCTCTACTGGAACCGCAGCTGAATGTATGGATATGTTCAAACACCCCTCTAGAGCTATGTCACAGCACTTAACACCTGGCAGGATTACGCTGAGCGCCTGCTCCAAGCCACCCAATGACAACCATGATGATAACATCCTCACTGTTCATAGCAGGGTAGGCAGAATACCCATGGGAGGCAGTCCAACAGTTACAGTAGTAGCTCTTCCTTCCAGAAGCTCCAGGCCTCATAGATATCAACTCAAGACTTGTAATACACTTATGAGGCAAACCAACAACCTCCAAAAATTGAGAGAAAATCACAAAGAGAGGTTACATAAATTCTCTAGCACTGCAAAGTAAATTCAGGTACAGTTTTCCACCCATGAAGTTTTCTTTTAAATGCAACATTCTCATTCTTCTCGGTACAATAGGGTTACCCATTAATAAACTGCAAGGATCTTTGTTAAAAGGTGAGTGTACAAACTCAGATGCTAAATCTTGGAGCAGCTCTTCTCAGCTACAGATGGCACCAACAGAACAGTTTGGTAGGGCTGTGTTGCAAAAGCAGCCCAGCAAACTGGTTTGGAATTGTAGCTTGTTTTTAGGGAGGGTTTTTTGTTGCTCCCCCCCTCCTCCCCCTCCCCTCTCCCCCCCCCCCCCCCCCAAGATTAGTCAATTTTCCAAACAATAAGATAGAGCAACAGCAGTTAAAAGGATGCAATATTTTAATGGTATTTTCTGCAAAACCACTTCAGCTGCAGATTTTGTAATGAATTCCAGCAATGGTGCTCAGTGTCTTAGAGAGTGAGGCCCCACAGCACCTTATGGAGGCACCTAAGGGCTGCGTGTCACCCAAGGCATGCCACCACACACCCAGGATGAAGGCTTACCCATCCCCTTATGGGGAAACAGGGCCGTGCCTGTTGGTTGATGTGCCCAGGCAGTGCTTATGCAGGCCAAAGTGTGAAGGAAGCCTATTTATTTGATTGGTCTTTCTGCCTGTCACTGACTTACTGTCTTATCTTTACATTGGCCTTAAAATCTCCTGTTTTCTTTGTGAAACGCTGTCTTAGTGGGTAAAACACTAACTTAAATAGCTAGGGTGACTTGTGAATTGGCTTGAACTGGATACCGCAGAAGGGAAAAGGCATCGACGGAGAGAGGTCCCTCCAGGATGTGATCCATTTCGTCTCAGGATAGGATGAGCCATCCTTTTTCACTTTCTATTGGTTACAGCAGCAACCTGGGGAGGTAGCTTATATTTCCAGCCCAGATGAGGCAGAATCTGGAGAATATTAGGTAAGGTGAAACATGTTCCAGAAGTCTCAAGTTCTTGGAGAGTGAAGTCTCAGTAGCGTTGGTGGTAAAAGCAGTTACGCACCCCACACTTGCCTGCTGGTCATTTCTGTGTGTGCGCAGCCCTCGCACCTGGGTTGGTACATCCACTGAACAGACAATCCAGGTTAAAAATACAATTTTTCTTCACGAGTTATTTTTTTACCATAATCTGTTCCTGTCTCTTGGTCTCCATGGTTACATAAATATTTATGCTGGTACATTTGTTACTGCTATGTGAAGAAGAGTTAAAGAAAAGGGAGAAACCAACAGAAGGCTGCTAAAGCCAGCACTACTGCAGAAAGGGAAATCTCATCAAACTATGGTCTGAGATTTCACAAACCTCTCCTTGATTTAAGAAATTCCCATCCCCCAGTCACTTCTTCAGCAGTGCAGAGCTGTTTGTGAGTAAAAAAGCACCAGCCTCTCTTCAAAGTAGTTGCATTGGCCCAGCTGGAAAGGGAGGAGGGCAGCACTGGGAGGTGGCATATTCCTGCAGGTGCAGAGACAGAAGAGCTGTGGTAACAGCCTCCGCTGCCAAAGGCAAAGTAATGTTACACTGAAGCCATTTTCCAGGATGTAGATCCTGAAAAGTGAACTGATTGGAGCTGGCACAGAGCTCGCACAGAAAATGTAAGGGTGGGGGAGTGAGAAGGAGCTATCTGCAGTTCAGTGTTAACGACTCCAAAGAGCAGAATGGGCAGTGCCAGGACTTCTCCCTTTTTTCATAGCATGGAATGGGTCAACTACACATAGTCAGTTGCTCTCCAGCACCTGGGTGCATTTTGAGGCCAACCCACACTTCTTAATAAAATCAATGTTCATGCACCTGGGTAGGACGCCAATAGCAGTGACATGTTTGTCAACGGATTATTATTTTTTTTTTTTTTGTATCTTGCTGAACTATTGTATCAGGTTTTTGGATCCATATGCAGAATTGTTTTGGATTCTGTCTAGTGTCAGGCTTTTATCTTCACATACTGATTTCCTGCTGCTCAAATACAAAAAGCCTCCTTTCATCATGCCAACACTTAACATGACACCACAATGACTGGCAAAAAATGTGTCTTAGAACAAATCAAATTACAGCACATAAACATTTTTCATGCCATTCAGTGTATTTGAACAAGAGCATATTATTACATAATTAGTTAATGAAAAATGTATTCAAATGCACTCTATGTGTGTGTGTATATACATGCCTGCATTACTGAAAACTGTATTTTATGTAGGTTCATTCAGATGACAGAGATCATATTAAAAATAGATAATAAATTAATCTCAACTTTTTTTTTTTTCCCCTTAGTCATGAATGATGAGTGAACCATGAGAGATGATTCCTTCTACAGTCTTCTGGGGCAATAAAATGTACCTTTCCTCCAACAGTTGATCATGGCCTGAAAGCTCACAACGTGCAAGTCTATCCAAAAGTGACAAAATGCATGGAATGACTCCAGTGAGATCATTTCCTACCAGTGAAGGGCAATTAATGGATTGTAAGTTGTGACTGGCGTTCCTGGTATCTATGAAATCAGATAGGTAAGAGATCTCTTCTGTTCCATAACACATGAAAGATTGAATTTCAGTATTGCTGTCCTCTCTACTTAACACTGACAGTCCCAGCTCCCCCATCAATGATTTACAATACTGTGACCAATGGATGTTCTCTTTAGGTAACTGTAATTCCAAATAACAACTAAAAATACACATCAGGGAAATGTTTGTCAGATAATCAGGCATTGTTACTATGCATCTTTCAATTTTCATGGATCTTTCCATGTTCTTACACTCTTCAAAGTATTGAAGAAGCTTCTAATTATCTCCTCATAAGCTGATAAAAATAATGAAATTCTTCCATATCACCTAAATCATTCAAACTGAGTTAACTTATTTCTATTTCTATTACGTTTACTATATTGTTTGTCCCAAAAGAAAGAAAAACATTTTACTTTTCTAATGCATGCCTGCAAATTAATCACTGCTGTGGTATTGTATGCAGACTTGTCTAGCTCAGTGATCTGTAACAGTCTAGACTTAATTGCATAAATGCAAAGTGCACCATACCCGCAGAATTTGACTCCCAGTGCTTATATAAAAAGTGAAGAGTTGAATCAGGCATAATAATACTTAAGGGCAAACTAGATCATAGTTATACATGCCTGCACATTTGTCTGCAATTTCAAGTCTGCTGCTGGTCTGCAAAACAACTTCTCATGGCACTTACCTTAACCAGCCACGCAGCCAACCTGTGCAGTCTTTGCTGCTGCAATGGGGTCTCATTAAATGCCAGAGCTCAGTCAGACTGGGTGTCTGTGAGTTTCACAAACTGTGTGGTAAACGCCTTGCTAGTATACTTGCTTTCTGCAATTGAGAACTGTGAGCCACTCTTGCCCTTAGTCTTTGATCCTCTCATTCTCTCAAAAGAAGTGGAAGTGCAGGATATCCTTCTATCCATGTACACATTTCTGAAAATATTGTTGTGATGATAGTTACAAGCCAAATGTTGTGAAATGCTCAGTAAACAGTCTTTGAAGAATTTCAGAGAGACGTAAACTGTATTAAAAATAAAAGCACACCTCAGCAGTCAAGCTACCTGTCCACAACAAGAAAGGTGGGGATCTAAGTATCAGGGCTGTGCTGGAGACAGTTCAGTCCAATTCAGTCAAGCTAACTCTTGAAATTACAGCCTGTTTTTAAATCACTTCTCACAACCAGTCTCAAACACGCCTTGCTCCCTGCCCTCCTGGGAACTGCAATGTCTATGCTCAGTTCAGCAAGCTGTCTCTCCTCCTCTATCTGTACAGACAAAGAGCTACTATGTCCTGACTACATTCCTGTGTAGGGAGGAGGGCAAATTTCTAATGGCATCCTACTACTGGTCCTATCTTTCCCAATATGTCACTTGATTGGCATGCCCTGCTTAGTATGAGATGCAGCACAGGAACATACCAAAGACAGTCTTTGGATTTGAAGTTACAGAGAACAGTGAGACACATAAGATTTGAATGGATTCTCCAAAGAACCAGGAGGATTTCACTGCATATGAGTTTGACAAAAGCCGTGGCAAACCCCAACACTGGCAGTCACGATCAGCAATCCTTATATACACATGAGCAGTGGGACAGTACTGCAAAGAAGAATGCCAGGCACCATTATACTTACTTTTCTATAGGTGACATGCTTAGAGGTACACTTGACGCTTATTTTTGTCTTGATGTTTGATGTTGCCATCCCAGGTAATGTGAGTCCAGCTCACACAATCCCTCGAAAACTAACCAGTCTCTCCATTCCCGCTCTTCTCCATCCTACCCACATGCCCCTTTTGTTCCTCACATATGTAAAATGACAGCCCTATCAGGGCCTCACGTATCAGCACTTCTCCCCAGTCCCCAGAACGCACAAAGTCCCAGTCCTTCCTTACATCCTTTTTATCAGTTCTCCAAACTAGCCACAAAAAAAAAGTAACTGAAATGTGTTTGCTGAACAGCAAGTCCTATTAATCTGTCACAAAATATGCACTGTAGAGAAAATTAAATCAGATCATCAGGCTGTTACATTTAACTTTCACCATTGAAACTTCATAACAGCGTTGTTGTACTAAAATCTTTGAGTTTTTAAATATCATCATTAATCCTGTGCATTTTTCTTCTGTCAGAATAGTCTTAGGCTTTATTTTCCACCAACTCTTTATGGCATTTTTGATGATACATCCTGTATGTGCTTTTAAAATACCATATGACACAGAATTGTAATGTATAAACAGAATCACAGAATCATCTAGGTTGGAAGAGACCTCCAAGATCATCTAGTCCAACCTCTGACCCAACACTAACCAGTCCTCCTCCACTAAACCATATCCCTAAGCTCTACATCTAAACGTCTTTTAAAGACCTCCAGGGATGGTGACTCAACCACTTCCCTGGGCAGCCCGTTCCAGTGCCTCACAACCCTTTCAGAAAAGAAGTTCTTCCTAACATCCACCGTAAAACTCCCCTGGCACAACTTTAGCCCATTCCTCCTCGTCCTGTCAACAGGCACGTGGGAGAATAGACCAACCCCCACCTCACTACAGCCTCCTTTAAGGAAGCTGAGATAAGGTAGCCCATGAGCCTCCTCTTCTCCAGGCTGAACAATCCCACCTTCACCCTGGATTTTGTGAATAGAGCCGAATCTTCTCATGACGCAAATCTGATACAACACTTGAACATTTATACTCGTTGTTTCCATGGCCTTTTCAGGATGCCTCCAATGCTCGGGTGTCCAGCTGCACATCAAGGACATCCCCGGCTCCCAGGGACAGTTCCCAGGCCGCAGACCGACCTCCTGGCCAGGACCCCAGCCTGGCAGACATGGCTCCTGTCAGCGTGGAGCAGCCATCTCACCTCAGCCTTGTCCCACAACCGTCAGGTGACGTCTGTCAGTGCTGCCATCAGGGGCACCCCGAGACCCTTGTGATGGAACCACAGAGTCACTGTCACCCTACGACCTCACAAAAGGTGGCTGGCTATAAAAGCCCTGAGCGGTGCGCCTGCGGCCAGTCCAGCTCGTGGCACTCAATTGCTCGAGGTCCCACTGCTGGAAGACAGGAGGCGGAGGTGTTGTGCGAAGCACACTCGAAGCCATTCTTCTTGCACGCCAGCCATCAAGGTCCTTCGGTAATGTTATCAAACATCTATACCTACATGGTCCTCACCTATCCTAAGTATAGTCTTGCCTTCGAAGTATAACCTCTCAGAAGCAGAGCTGCCGTTATAATAGCATTGGTTGTAGTCCATACGAAGAACATTTACTGCTCTAGTACTCTAGACAACTTGGCTGAACCTAGAAAGCTAATGCGGATTTGCTTCTAGAATGTTTTCTTCCTGCTTCTCTCTCTAGTGGTCCTGCTGGTGGCAAGCAAGGCGCTGAGGTCCAGCCAGGGAGACGTGAAGCGTCGAGATCGTGCCGGCGACCCGCAGGGGAGGTGCTGAAGACCGGAGTCTGCTGACAACCACCCGGCACCGGGGCACCTTCCCACAGAAGACCATCTCGACGCCGGGGCAGCTGCAGGAACAATGAACCAGCAACAGCGGGAGCAGCCAGATGAGGAGGCCCCTGGGGACCAGACCTGCCCCATCTGTCTGGGCCAGCTGTCCGACGCGTCTCGGATGCACCCCTGCGGGCACTGCTTCTGCCGGCAGTGCATCCAGCCCTGGGCCACTCAGAGGTTCACGTGCCCAATGTGCCGTAGGCGTATTGTGGCCATCGAACGGTTGGAGGCACCCGCCCAACGCGACGCCTCACCCCCCCGACGCGAGGCCTCACCCCCCCATCCCCGCCGAGGACTGGAGCGCAACGCGGGGATGGGGCGGCGGCAGCAGCGGCAGCAGCAGCGGCGGCGGCAGAGGAGCCCCAACTACCGCTCCCGCAGTGCCTCGCCCCGGCGCAGGGAGCGCAGCCCCTTTCAAGAACGGGGGATGGCCCGAAGGCGCTCCGGGCACAGACTGAATGAGGACGTCTGGTACGTCGACCTCGACGATATCTCCTGGCTGCGTCGGGTCCAAGAAGAGGATCCGGGGTCCGGCGACCATGTGTAGGCCGCTAGGCCCATTCCTGGATCTGAAATGACCTCAGCTGGGGGTTGGCTGGGGGTGGCAGCCACAATTACTCCCCTATTAAATTAGGACTTTTCCACCCTACAAAGCCTCTGCCTGCACTTCTTCCGGCGTAGGTCAGCGGGAGGCTGAACGCAGCCCTCTCCTGCTGTCCGCACCACAAAGTGGTTTGGGGATGTCGGCTGTTGACGGGGAATGGCTGCGGGTGGCGGGTCCCCAAGTGAGACTTGGGGACGAGAAGTCATCATGGGAACGGGAGAGTGGTGGGGATGGGAGCAGCACCAAAGGTGACCTGGCCCGACTGGGAAAAAGGCTGACAGCAAAAGTCTCCTAAAAGCCTGGCAGCACAGAATGCCTGCCAGCTGGGGAACCGGGCCTGGCAACCTGCAGCATCCTTGGAAGGCGCTGCTGGCCTCCTGCAAGGGCAGCCTGAGGGTACCTCAAAACCAGAGATTTCCTCAGGATACCACCACCAAGGGCAAAAGCAAGGAACTACAAGAGCAATGGGCTGTCTGAGGACGAATTGCTCTGGGAAAGGTGCTGTTCTCAGAGACTAGGAAGCATTGGGGTCTATCGCCTGTCTCAGGTGAAACACAGAAATCAGCAGTGTCTTTCGGCTGCTCAAAGGAGATGGTGTTCTATGCCCTCTTCTGTCTCTTTTGAGAGAAAAAGACTCCTTTTCTACCCAAAATGGTGGTACTCGAGAGCTCGAATGGCACACAAAAAAAAAACAAACAAACAAAAAAAAAATTACAAGACATAAACACACTGTAATTGACAGAAATTCATTGCAAAACTATATTAGTAGTGCAACCAATTTTGAGCAAACCTTCTGTGTACATGAATTCATTTGTAGAGACAGAAAATGCTCTGATAAGGCTTAAAAGATTGGCAAGTTTCATTCAAGAGCATATACGGACTTTAAAAGAAGCCTGAAAAAAGACTTCCTATCTCCATGGTATCAAGAAAAAGGTTCTGGATATAACTTCCCATAATTGTATGAGGAAAAAAACTAACTTTGCTACCATGGGAACTGAACAGTGCAACGTAACTGGTTATTACTTGTCTCCATTTACAAAACTGCTCCCTAAAATGTTAAGGCCCTCAGTAACATGGGTAATTTCTTTTCCAGCGGTGAAGCAAATCTGCTACAAAAGGAACAAGGTGAAGCTATTCAATGAGCTCACCAAGCCTGGGGAGAACAGTTGAGGGATGACAGGTATTTCCGTGACAAGTGGAGGGTTACAAAGAGGAGAAATGGAATAAAAGAAAGATTGAGAAAATATCATGATTCCAAAAGAAATGGGGGAGAAGGTGTTTGGGTTGACTAGTGAGATACCAAACAAGGCCTTGATAATGAGCAGTTCTATCTTGATTGTGCTAAAGTTATAAGCAGCAAATATTAGGTAGATGTTACCTTGCCCTAGCTCCCTCAGTGCTGGTGCCATCTCAGAGACGTGCATCTTGTGGAAAATGTGCATGTTTTCTCATCATTTCTTAATGTTTCCTTCATTCTTCACAGGGAAAACCCACTCTCAAAAATGTTCTAAAAATCACCCAGGTTTGCACCTTCCTCACTGTTTGTTCACTTGTGGGACAAAAAGTCATATTCTCTTGCTTCACTGGAAGCTTTACTTCTTCCTGTTAGACAAACGTCCTGTTTGTAAAATGCTTGGCACTCTTCATTTATACATTTGATCTCCTCTAGGCCTGCCATGCCTTAGTGCACAAATAACATAGCCATTGAGAGCCAGTAGCAGAGGTTCAAGTTCATCTTAAAATCCATCAATGCGCACAGAGAGTTCCTCACAGGAAAACACTTCATGCTTCACCTTTACACAGACTGTTGATAGTGGGATAGTTAGCAAGGCAACCCAGCCAGGGAGATCCTGACAGTGGTCATTTAGGAAGAGATGTCTCAGGCTGCTTCTCCTGTGGGGACATAGCTCATCTTTTCCGTCCAATCAGCTATCTTTCTATGCACATGAGCAGAGGGACAGTACTGCAAAGAAGAATGCCAGGCACCATTATACTTACTTTTCTATAGGTGACATGCTTAGAGGTACACTTGACGCTTATTTTTGTCTTGGTGTTTGATGTTGCCATCCCAGGTAATGTGAGTCCAGGTCACACAATCCCTCAAAAACTAACCAGTCTCTCCATTCCCGCTCTTCTCCATCCTACCCACATGCCCCTTTTGTTCCTCACATATGTAAAATGACAGCCCCATCAGGGCCTCACGTATCAGCACTTCTCCCCAGTCCCCAGAACGCACAAAGTCCCAGTCCTTCCTTACATCCTTTTTATCAGTTCTCCAAACTAGCCACAAAAAAAAAAGTAACTGAAATGTGTTTGCTGAACAGCAAGTCCTATTAATCTGTCACAAAATATGCACTGTAGAGAAAATTAAATCAGATCATCAGGCTGTTACATTTAACTTTCACCATTGAAACTTCATAACAGCGTTGTTGTACTAAAATCTTTGAGTTTTTAAATATCATCATGAATCCTGTGCATTTTTCTTCTGTCAGACTAGTCTTAGGCTTTTTTTTCCACCAACTCTTCATGGCATTTTTGATAATATATCCTTTATGTACTTTTAAAATACCATATGACACAGAATTGTAATGTATAAACAGAATCACAGAATCATCTAGGTTGGAAGAGACCTCCAAGATCATCTAGTCCAACCTCTGACCCAACACTAACCAGTCCTCCTCCACTAAACCATATCCCTAAGCTCTACATCTAAACGTCTTTTAAAGACCTCCAGGGATGGTGACTCAAACACTTCCCTGGGAAGCCCATTCCAATGCCTCACAACACTTTCTGAAAAGAAATTCTTCCTAACATCCACCCTAAACCTCCCCTTGTGCAACTTTAGTCCATTCCCACTCATTTTATCACCAGGCAAGTGAGCTCAACGCTAGAGCCGTTTCAGACATCCCTTCAGGTTTTTGTTTCATATTTTGTGTTTTATACTCGTTGTTTCCATGGTCTTTTCAGGATGCCTCCAATGCTCGGGTGTCCAGCTGCACGTCAAGGACATCCCCGGCTCCCAGGGACAGTTCCCAGGCCGCAGACCGACCTCCTGGCCAGGACCCCAGCCTGGCAGACATGGCTCCTGTCAGCGTGGAGCAGCCATCTCACCTCAGCCTTGTCCCACAACCGTCAGGTGACGTCTGTCAGTGCTGCCATCAGGGGCACCCCGAGACCCTTGTGATGTAACTACAGAGTCACCGTCACCCTACGGCCTCCAAAAGGTGGCTGGCTATAAAAGCCCTGAGTGGCATGCCTGCGGCCAGTACAGCTTGTGGCTGTATAGCTCGAGGTGCCATTGCTGGAAGACGAGAGGCATAGGTGTTGCGTGAAGCACACACGAAGCCATTCTTCTATCAGAAGCAGAGCTGCCGTTATTAATAGCATTGGTTGTAGTCCATACGAAGAACATTTACTGCTCTAGTACTCTAGACAACTTGGCTGAACCTAGAAAGCTAATGTGGATTTGCTGCTAGAATGTTTTCTTCCTGCTTCTTTCTGTAGTAGTCCTGCTCGTGGCATGCGAGGTGCTGAGGTCCAGCCAGGGAGTCGTGAAGCGTCGAGATCGTGCCGGCGACCCGCAGGGGAGGTGCTGAAGACCGGAGTCTGCTGACAACCACCCGGCACCGGGGCACCTTCCCACACAAGACCATCTTGACGCCGGGGCAGCTGCAAGGACAATGAACCAGCAACAGCGGGAGCAGCCAGACGAGGAGGCCCCTGGGGACGAGACATGCGCCATCTGTCTGGGCCAGCTGTCCGACGCGTCTCGGATGCACCCCTGCGGGCACTGCTTCTGCCGGCAGTGCATCCAGCCCTGGGCCACTCAGAGGTTCACCTGCCCAATGTGCCATGGGCGTATTGAGGCCATCGAGCGCTTGGAGCCACGCGCCCAACGCGACGCCTCAACCCGCCAAAGACTGGAGCGCAACATGGGGATGACGTGACAGCAGCAGTGGTAGAGGAGCCCCAACTACTGCTCCCGCAGTGCCTCGCCCCGGCAAGCCCCTTTGAAGAACAGGGGATGGTCCGAAGGCACTCTGGGCACAGACTGAACGAGGACGTCTGGTACGACGACCTCAATGACGTCTCCTGGCTGCGTCGGGTCCAAGAAGAGGATCCGGGATCTGGCGACCACGCGGGCTGCCGGGCCCATTCCTGGATCTGAAAGGACCTCAGCTGGGGGTTGGCTGGGGGTGGCAGCCACAATTACCCACCTATTAAATTAGGACTTTTCCACCCTACAAAGCCTCTGCCTGCACTTCTTCCTGCATAGGTCAGCGGGAGGCTGAACGCAGCCCTCTCCTGCTGTCCGCACCACAAAGTGGTTTGGGGATGTCGGCTGTTGACGGGGAATGGCTGTGGGAGGCGGGTCCCCAAGTGAGACTTGGGGACAAGAAGTCATCATGGGAATGGGAGAGTGGTGGGGATGGGAGCAGCACCAAAGGTGACCTGGCCCGACTGGGAAAAAGGCTGACAGCAAAAGTCTCCTAAAAGCCTGGCAGCAGAGAATGCCTGCCAGCTGGGGAACCGGGCCTGGCAACCTGCAGCATCCTTGGAAAGCGCTTGGAAGGTTCCTCATGGGAAAACACGTCAAGCTTCACCTTTACACACACTGTTGATAGCAGGATAGTTAGCAAGGCAACCCAGCCAGGGAGATCCTGACAGCGGTCATTTAGGAAGAGATGTCTCAGGCTGCTTCTCCTGTTGGGACAGAGCTTAGCTTTTGTGTCCCAGCGCTCTCAGCACTGTTCTGAGAGGTTAAGCAGCACTCAGGGCGCAGCTGTAATTCCTGAAACGTTTACTTTTAGCTCAACTGAGATTTGTAGGTAGTCCCTGAAACTGTCCATACCTCTGACTGGGGCAATCTTTGAGCGCTTTTTTTTTTCTTTTTTCCTCACAATCTAAACATCCACTGAAAGAAGTCATTATTTGCACGGGGGATTTCCAAGGGCCACTTCAGCCTAAGCTGCTAATGGGGCTGACAAAGCGCGTCCCTTTTCCAAAGGGACGGCGAAAGCTGACCAGAGCTCTCGCGTCAGGCACCTCGCGGCTGCAGGCCGCAGGCTCCTTTAAGGGGGAGCGGTCGCCATCTTAGGTTCCCCCGCCCCCCTCCCGCCACGTGACGCAGCCGGCCGCCATCTTAGG